GACAGTGGCTAGCTGTTGCTGGAACACTCTCAGGGTTGCAGCTAACCGTGGCCACAAATGCCACAATAATGGGCTGATGGTTTCGCGTCGCGAAGTAGCGTTTAGACGCTGACTGCATATAATATAGATAGGATCTACATTTCTGATGCCCACTTCAACGATTAACTTTTCGGTCACCGTCCTTGCCGAATCTGGCGCTTGCGACGAAGGGCTCGACGAGTAAATTAACCCATAGGGGAAGTCCGGGCAAAGTGGACACCTTAACGTTTGATGGGCTATAGGAAGAAAACCAATAGGCATATAAATAAAACAAATGTTCAATGAGAATCAACATTTATTAAAGTTTTTAATATAATCAACAAAAATTGCTTAATAGCAGTCCTTTAATTTTAATTGTCAATAATGTTGCAACATATACCAGTATCCACTTTGCCCCATAGATCGGGTAAAGTGGATAGGACGATAGGGCAAAGTGAACACAAATACTAAGCATAGTTTTAAACTAATCAGTGCAGATATCACAAAGAAATAAGAAAATTTCTTCATAAGCCGTGCATTTATCGTGACTCCTTTGCTTACATTTATCACATTGGATCCAATCATCAACTGTTTTTTTTATTTATTTCTATACAGTTCTCGCAATAATAGAATACACACAATTCTTCCTCGTTTTCCTGACCACAATTCTTACTTTTATCTTTAACAATTATATTTATCGTCATTTTAATATTTTTCTTTGTCGCAGTTTTTGGTTTAGCATTTAAATCTTTATTCATATTTTTCATTCCTTTAAAATTTTTCTTTTTGTTCTCACTTCACTAGCGTACTTGTTAACATCTTAGACTGTTGAATCTTTCTTTTACGTATACCCAAAGGAATGTGTGGCATCGGAACGAATAATCCAGAAGCGTTGCAGCAACTCACGACTGTCGTAGTTTGTCCACGTTCAGTGCTGGAAATGTATACAACTTGCTTCTTACCTTTAACTAAAAGAACTATGGGTGGTTTTTTTTTTTGTCGAGGTCTGAGTGCCAATTTCATCAGATTCTGGTAATATGTTCACTTAACGGTTTATAGAACCTTTCTACTTGAGGACGATTGAAGTCTTTAACTCTGCCAATTGTAGTTGCTTCTGGAATTCTTAGTGCAATTTGTGGATTTCTCCTCATCAATTCTCCTAACCAATCATCACCAGCTTATTTATTTTTGTCTCAACTAGGCGGACAAGTGACATTATTGCGTTTCGCGTATTCAAAAACTAATATTTTTTAATTCTTCTTGGGTTAACCCATAAAAAACACTATCCATATCATACAAATACGTTCGAAAGCCTTCCTCTTGTTCATCGTTTATAACTTTACGAAGACAACCAAGTCGAGCAGTTGAACTACCTTTTTTCTAATGCCTATAAAGAGCGGCTTAAGATAGACCATACTTTTTTGCGGTCGTTTTCACAGGAATGACAAAATCTACTAATAAAACTATAGAATCAATCTGCTATCGCAAGCATCATACAATTCTCACTCCAATGGGCTTGGTTGATATTTCTTCTTGTATTTAAATACCATCTAAAACAAAAACAAAAAATTGAAAGCGCAATAGTCATCAGGGCAAAGCGAATACCGTATCCACTTTGCCCGTGATCACTTTGCCTTACACCTATTCATTTCATTCAACTTAACCCAAAACCAAATGAGGTGACGACAAAGTAACAAAACTCTCAGAATTCATACTTGAAAATATGCACTTAAAGGACACAATCGTACTAAACAATATGGTTTACTTTTATATGAGTTATTAAAGTATTACGTACCTTGTAAAGTAATAAGAAAACTTAACTATTTAGTTTTTTCGACTTTTCTCTCGATCGCGACGCAAGCCTCCGCTAGCTCTGTTTGCCCACGAATGCGGACGGGCGGGGGAATGTAATGTTACGAGGCGCGCGTGTTCCGATATGTTCTTGACGAAAAATAAAGAGTATTCACTTTGCCTGGCCTATCCACTATGCCCGGACTTCCCCTAGACACAGCCCACTGAGTTTCTCGCCGGATATGGCGGATCTTCTCAGTGGGTCGCGTTTCCGATCCGGTGGTAGATTCTGCGAAGTACTGCTCTTGCTAGGGTCAGTGTTAGCAACTCTCCGGTTTGAGCCCCTCGAGCTCACCTACAAACGTTAGGGTGAAGCTGAAATAGCCTCTCAAGGCTATCAGCATAGGTAGGAAGAAAAAAAATGCCTATGTTTGACGCTAGGGGCGCTGTTCAAACTGCATACAAAATTGGGTTAACTTTTTCGTTATCGAGAACGTTAAAAAACTCGCACTAAGTACACAGTACCCGGAATACATGACAGCTCTCTTTCCTGAACCATTTTTAGAAACCTCAGCATGCCGCAGACAGTTTCATCTGTTGTTGATTGATAATGTTAATTGATGATAACAAAAAATATGAATATCACCACATACTTTGAGACAATAAGCACGAGTAGGTACCACCACCTCGCTTATTTTTGCCGTGAAGCAGAAATAAGCATTTCGGTTCAAGGGGTTTAATCTCGTCCACCTTTCTAAGCAATAACACCAGAGGATTTAATTCAAGCCTTGCGTCACAGTAACTGCGAATTCTGTTTATTCATTAATTCCACTATATAAACAAATCTTCAATAATAATGGCAATTCGCTAAAATCTGCTTATTTATTTTATCTGAAATCGAATATATTTGTTTATATTTATTATTAATCTGGGCTGTCAAAAACAAGCTCCATGGTTAAAATACACAATAAAAAGAAGATAAATATAACCGCAGCTAGTCCTTCGATATCTTGTAGTATAGGTACCTAACGGGACCACTTTTTTTCGTGTCAAAGCGGGACACCTACGGAATTTCGTATATAAATAAATCTAATAACATATATGAGTCGACTATTATCAAAGCCGGCAATGTGACTTTTGGACAATTATTGGTAAATCAGAAAAACGAATTATTGACTTTGTATTCCATTGGCAGTCACAAAACTCTTCTGAACGACATCTTAGATAAATAACAGGTTAAGTATTAACCTTTATTTAATGCAGGTTTTGAACCGTATTCTTTCAAGGAGACGATTATATTCAAATCAATCTGTATTGACATATCAATAACATTTTTTGTCCAAATGCACAGATTGCCACCTTTGATAATAGACGACTCATATAGGGTACGTCGGGGTAAGATGTAATATTTAAGAGCAAAATAAAATTTATGGTTTAAAAAATTAATTGAAATAATTTATTATGGTATCTTACCATTACTGACATCTTAATTCTTACACCAAGTTGCCCTTAAAATAATATTTATAAATAATTTCGCAACAAAAAACTACTTTTAGACAGCAAAATTAGAGTTACTTTCGTATGTATTTTGCAATACAATAAGGAGTTGGGATCAGTAAGTATTCGGTAATTTTCTAATAAACATATGCACAACAGATAAATGAAAGCGGGACATTTTTGTTCTCGTTGGGGACAGCGGGACGGACAGCCTGAAAGCGGGACAATCCTGCCCAAAGCGGGACGTATCGTCACATTAAGTATACCTTTAAATATTTCAAACATAAGATACACTTAATATTATGTCTTTAGTCCTAAGCCATTTCAATTTCCGCTTGCTGCAGGTTTCAAAATATTGCAACTTCCCGCAAATTCAATCGACTATCGAGTAACAACGCTTTGTGTAAGCGATCAGTCATAACATGACCGTGTTTTATAGCAAAACATTAAATACCAGTAGTGTGTCCATCTATTATCTCGACTTCGCAATTTTTTTTACGCTTCCGTCTACCAGTATGAAACGAAGTAAGTCTTATTATGCGTGCTTGGTGCGAGGAAACTATGCCGTAGTAGGTCGATTCTTGTTAACCTAAGTCCTTGATTTTGTACCTAGCGTACAAGTGATGCACACATGCATGTACGACTTCCACTATATGAGAATAGCAGAGCTGTAAAATCGAATCATGTTTGTGATTTCATAAATTTTAAGCACTAATTAAAATTAATCAATTTATCAAACGTAGATTTATTTTAATTATTAATATTATATTTATTGAGCATATAAAATATAGGTATAAGTATAAACTTATACTGTATTTTCTACCGCGCCTCTGTATGGGCTGACAGAATCAGATATACTCAATAGCACCCGATGTGGTGCGAGGTGAAATTACTCTAGAGTTAAAATGTCTCATGTTATTTCTAGGTAAGGCGTGTAGAGCAGATGGTAGTGGCTGGTGCTATCTTTATAGAGAAATACAAAGTCTTGCGTCAATATTTAATTCGACATACATATAAGGCTAGAAGATAAATGGTTGTTTCGTGGTTTTTAACGGGACATTGTAAACATTATAACCGACGTTACAATGTCGTCAACTTAACCGTTGTCGTGCCTTCGGACATAAGTTAGTCATATTTAAGTTAGATTAATCATTTTATTGCGATTGCTTAACACACGAGCATAAATACGACCATTCATTCTTTTTACTGGTGGTAGGGCCTCTTGTGAGTCCGCGCGGGTAGGTACCGCCGCCCTGCCTATTTCTGTCGTGAAGCAGTAATGCGTTTCGGTTTGAAGGGTGGGGCAGCCGTTGTGACTATACTGAGACCTTCGAACTTGTATCTCAAGATGTGTGGCGCATTTACGTTGTAGATGTCTATGGGCTTCAGTAACCAATTAACACCAGGTGGGCTGTGAGCTCGTCCACACGTCCAAGCAATAAAAAAAAAAATTCAATCCATTTAATTTTATGGGAATGCCATCTCTGATTGGCTAAATATTTAGGCATTGAATATAATAAACGAAATATCCCAAAAGTAAAAGCTAACTTTGTTGCCCTACTACATTGATATTGAACAATGTGATCATTTAGGTAACTTAAATAAAATAATATCCGTAAGCTATATAACGAGACACAGGGACAGCTGCATGCAGAGTCAGTACCTATTCATTCAACATTGAAAACGAACATAAGATGGGCTCCTTGAGGGTATATTTTTGCGACATTTGCATTCTCATGTTGGTCGGGATTAATTATTTTCTACTAGCTGAAGTTGTACCAGTTAGGTAGTGCTATTTGAATAATTAAGTTACTAATTCTTATTCCAACTCCCGCACTGTGATCCTACATTGGCAACGGAATGGCTGTGGTTGCGATTTATTGATTTCGTCACTGCCCAAGAAACTTATAAGTACACTAACATAGACAACGAGCAAACATACAATACTAAATAACTGACTTTTTTAGTATCGCCCCATTCGAAGACCGGAAAGGCAACTGCTCTTGCGGAGGATTTCCGACTGTGACGCCAGATCCTGGAAGTCTGCCCCTACTTTCTCAAACACCAAGTCTGGTCGTCAAATGTGATCAAGAAGGAGACAATACATGCAAGATACTCTGCAATGCATTAGCAACAGCTACGAAAGCAAAAGGCCCTGAAATTCTCTGCAGCAGGCTTAAAGATGTCAACGAACTTAAGGTTAGAAATCTATAGTTCCTATCCAATAATTTTAAGTGATAAAATTACATGAATAAATTTAAATATACAGACGTCATCGATGCCTTTAAATTTTGTACCATTTTTGTATTGACATAAATGGGCAAATGAGAAAACGGCCAACCCGTCGTGCAATAGATGTAGTCCATAGCATGATAGTCGCGTTCCTATCTTTTTATTATATATTTTGAACGTTTCGATTTTCAATCTAGAGCATTACGTAAAATTTCGGTTACATGACCTTTGGATTAATTTCTTGCATAAATCAGTCGGATTTGATAATTTTCGCTGTGAATAACTTAATAAATAAAATCGTATTTTAATGTTTAAAAATAATGCTTCTTGAACTACACGCAATGTAACATGATAATCAGATGGCGCGTGGGTTCAACGCTCTTGTCTGGCGTTTCACCCGCCATTGTCTTCCTTTTGCATTGCTAAATTCACAAAATATTAACAAACCTAAAACGTACTTACGTACTTAGGCCTATGAAAATGAGCATGTTACGTCCTTCGGGTTCACGTTTTGGGGTTAGGAAGCCGTCTTCTGTGTGATAAGACTAAAAATGAAGGGTTGGGCAGCCATTGTAACTATACCGAGACCTTAGAACTTGTATCTCAAGGTGGGTGGCGCATTTACGTTGTAGATGTCTATGGGCTCCGGTAACCACTTAACACCAGGTGGGCTGTGAGCTCGTGCACCCATCTAAGCAATAAAAAAAATAAAAAATTGTTAGACGCTATCGGGGATTATTATTCTAAATGTCTGAGAAAAGATTAAATATTTTTATTGTTCTAAACACATGCTTTGCGCAGGAGCCAACAATCGTTTGGCGTTAAGTGGTTATTGGAGCCTATAGACATGATCATTATCATGCGGATCCAGCTGGGGACGCGAGGTCAATATTCGCACGTACAATGCGAGCTGACTATATGCCTAGTCATAAGTTATTTTCCATTTCATTGTTACAGCTTTCAGCTTTTTACAAAACGTGCGACAAACCATGGAGTTACGCAAATATGACTGCCGAAGCCCCACTTTGCTGCGAAAATTCCCAAGTGAAAGTTTGTTCATCGGTGGTAACACTAAAATCAACAGTGCAACCGGAAGCGAAGACTACCATATGATTAATTAACAGAGTTATTTTTACGAATAAATGAAAGTCTATAAAAATTATAAATAAAACGAACTGTATTTGCATTTATTACACTGTTACTAATTTCGAACATTACTTCAATAAAATGTATATCAAATGATTACTTTTTTATTCACATAGACGTTATCCGAATTACATTTCATTACACGAAATATTTGATTGTGTAAAGACTTCGTTGTATATACTATTGCATATTATTTTGCGCGTGTAGATAATTCGAGACGGTGACCAAACGTTCTCAAATGTTTATTCTACCACACAATATCTAGTGGTAAAACGCTTAAAACACTAAATAGACAAAAATAAGTTTTTATTCTTTATTTTTATCTTTTTAAAAAAAAACAATTCAATGTGTTCCTAAGAACTTGCTTAAAATATTACGTACATAATTGGATGAAACTGCATAACGTAATTGTCACCCGCGTCGGAGCTAAAAAATTCAAGTTATTAAACAAATAACTCGCAACCCTGGCCGGCTGAAAACATTCGATCGTTATAAGTATTTAGCTTCGCCCTTCGAAAATCTATTGTTCAAGTCTTGAGCTTTCTTGATGATCGAACGCTTTTGTGCTTCATCGAATCGGTTCACCTGCAAGTCGACGTCGCGACTGAACGGCCGGCGCTCTTTCTTGTCATCCTCTTTTTCCTCTTTCTAGAAATAAAAAAAAACTAGATGATGACCGAGTTTTGCTCGTATTTTTTTTGATAACGCCATCTTGCTGTGTCTTTAAAGCGGTTAGTTGCCCTCAATTAAGAAAAATAGTATTATTATTCGCCAATAGATGTCGGGAAGAGTTGATTATTGAAAACACGAATAAAACAACATTTTCTGAAAATAAATCGTAGCTAGATCGATTTATCGCCCCCGAAATCCCCTGTATACTAAATTTTATGAAAATCGTTGGAGCCGTTTCCGAGATTCAGATTANTGCCCTCAATTAAGAAAAATAGTATTATTATTCGCCAATAGATGTCGGGAAGAGTTGATTATTGAAAACACGAATAAAACAACATTTTCTGAAAATAAATCGTAGCTAGATCGATTTATCGCCCCCGAAATCCCCTGTATACTAAATTTTATGAAAATCGTTGGAGCCGTTTCCGAGATTCAGATTATATATATACAAGCATTGCTCGTTTAAAGGTATAAGATAAGATATGATATTACAACAGTAGTAACACTCCAATATTTCTCAATAATGTATTTATTTCGAAAACAAACAGTAGTCGATCCACATATTATTATGTTAAATTACAACAAACAACGAATACCGGACAAGTTTACGCAGATTACTGCCTATTTCTACCGTGAAGCAGTAATGCGTTTCGGTTTGAAGGGTGGGGCAGCCGTTGTAACTATACTTGATACCTTAGAACTTATGTCTCAAGATGTGTTGCGCATTTACCTTGTAGATGTCTATGGGCTCCAGTAACCACTTAACACTAGGTGGGCTGTGAGCTCGTCCACCCATCTAAGCAATAAAAAAACCTAACTACACTTTAGGAAACTTAAACTGCTGCATTAAAGTACAGGACGACTTTGAAATAAATATGAAAACTTTTTAAAACAAATTTAATATAATACATACCTAGTCAGGTCATAAATTCTGTCACATGTTTAATGTAAAATAATTGAAACAAGATTATTCATTATGTAACCTGACTAGGTATATACCTATATACCTAGGTATATACCTAGTCAGGTCATAAGTATTGTCACACAGTAAAAACTTTTCTTTTAGAATGCTGGCCACAAAAAAGTTTATTGAATTCGAATTTCGAATTGTTCATGAAAATAAAAATGTATACTTTTAGAATTTTACTCATTTTTAAATATGGTGTGGACGCTTAAAGAAGACCGTGTTGCAGTTATTGCGTTGCATCGTTGCGGTTACGCACCAATTCAAATTTTTAACATACTGAAAAATTTGAATATAACCAAAAGATTCGTTTATCGTACCATCAAACGATACAATGAAGACTCTAGTGTAGATGACAGGTCAAGAAGTGGTCGCCCTCGGTCTGTTAGGACTCCAGCAGTGATAAAAGCTGTGAAGGCGCGAATTCAAAGAAATCCCAAACGTAAGCAGAAACTGTTGGCCCTTCAGATGGGGTTAAGCAGAACCACGGTGAAAAGGGTGTTAAATGAAGACTTAGGGCTTCGGGCATATCGAAGAAAAACAGGACATCGTTTGAATGCTCGTCTAATGGACCTGAGACTGAAGAGATGCCGCGCTTTGTTGAAGCGGTACGCGGGAAAAAAATATCGGGAAATTCTTTTTTCGGATGAAAAAATTTTTACCGTAGAAGAGAGCTACAACAAACAAAATGATAAGGTGTACGCACACAGTAGTGAAGAAGCGAGCAACCGTATTCCGCGTGTCCAACGAGGTCATTTTCCATCCTCGCTCATGGTATGGTTGGGAGTTTCTTATTGGGGCTTAACAGAGGTTCATTTTTGTGAGAAAGGTGTAAAAACGAATGCAGTTGTGTATCAAAATACAGTCCTGACGAACCTTGTGGAACCTGTTTCTCATACCATGTTCAATAACAAGCACTGCGTATTCCAACAAGATTCGGCGCCAGCTCATAGAGCGAAGAACACACAAGACTGGCTGGCGGCGCGTGAAATCGACTTCATCCGGCACGAAGACTGGCCCTCCTCCAGTCCAGATTTGAATCCGTTAGATTACAAGATATGGCAACACTTGGAGGAAAAGGCGTGCTCAAAGCCTCATCCCAATTTAGAGTCACTCAAGACATCCTTAATTAGGGCAGCCGCCGATATTGACATGGACCTCGTTCGTGCTGTGATAGACGACTGGCCGCGCAGATTGAAGGCCTGTATTCAAAATCACGGATGTCATTTTGAATAAACTTTAGTGTCATAAGAATTTATGTTTTGTTAAGTTCATTATAATTTATTTTTTTATATTCGTTATAATTTATTTTGGTTCGTTATAATTTATTTTGGTATATGAATGGTTACATAATGAATAAACTTGTTTCAATTATTTTACATTAAAAATGTGACAGAATTTATGACCTGACTAGGTACAAATATAATACACTGATTCGTTAACTTTCAAACAGCGCAGTATAATTTCCTTAAGTTTGAATGGAAATAACCATTCAAGTTCATGAACTTTGATGCAGTTTGTGCGTCCGACAGTTTATATAACTAGCATTCATAATTTAACTTTACGAATAATTGGTACCGACAACTAAAAAACTTATTACTTATTTCCTTCAAATCGATTAAAAAAAAGAAACTTATATATATCTTACAATAGTTACATTGGTTTCGTACTATATTTTACAAGGTATACGGAAATGACGTCAGTATCGGACAAATGTATTGAAACCACGATTCGTTCGAGTGGTGGACAGTTTAGAGAGCGCGGAAATACGACCGTAATGAAAATGAATGTTTGCTCTGGTATCAATCTGTTTATTAATTAATATCTATATATATAAAAATGAATTGCTGTTCGTTAGTCTCGCTAGAACTCGAGAACGGCTGGACCGATTTGGCTAATTTTGGTCTTGAATTATTTGTGGAAGTCCAGAGAAGGTTTATAAGGTAGATAAATATGAAAATGCTCGGAATTAAATAAAAATAACAATTCTGTTTTTCTTTTGATGTGTCCCCCGTCGGACGGATTCCTTTTGTTTGTTTTAAGTTTATTTTATATAAATGCAAAAATTTTGGTCTTTTATTTATCGATTGAGGCACTACGAAGTCTGCGGGGTCAGCTAGTATTGTATAAAAAATGATTTATTAATAACATACGATCTGTCCATAGACCTATATAGTAGGGACACGACATATTGTTCTATACGTACAATTGCTTATATAAATAGTACCCATTTTGAAGGCACATACATAAACATATATCTATCTCGTTCTTACTCAGCACTTTAACTCGCAGGAAAACAATATAACAGTATTTCAGTGCGTACATAAAATGAAACATGAATATACGTAAATATCTCCGTCTCCGTCTAATGAGGCCGAAAATCCGCCATGTTTAGCGCGCCAAATGTCATTGTCACGTCAGTTCGGCCGTCTGTTTTGGGTTGTACATTATTTATTGACTTTGATATCGATTTAATATGATTGATTATATAAAATTTCATAATTTATCATGCTTAAAACATACAAAAATAATAATTAAAACGTATTTTATAGGATCTCAAGAAAGTCGATGCCCTAAAACTATTATCTATATGTATTTAAATTCATTATGGAGCCCTCATCCGAAAAATCCATTTTTCGGTCGGAATCTATTGATCATGACACTAATCATAAATACCACTTTAAAATATGTCATCAAAACATATTTAGACATTCTGTTTAGATATTTCGGGAAAAAGGCTACCGACAAAATCTCTTCGGAACTATTTAAATAAAATAGTTTTATTCCGCAGTGAGTAAAACACTATTGTAAATTTGTTAAATATTTAATAATTAAGTGATTTTAGAGAGGAAGTCACAAGGAATGACGTTTGTAATTAATGAATAAATGTTCTGTAGGTGTTTTTTTTTTCACGCGGTCCCTTGATAAGTTTAAAATTTGAATCACTCTCAAGCGAAAGTGATTCAAATGGTGCGGCGCACCTTCCTTGGGGTGCGCTGCGGTAGTATGTTACGGACTTTAGAGTCAGCAAAACAATTAAAATAGATTGTAATAGTCTAAGAAAAACACGTACTCAAAATACGATAACATTTAGCATGCTAGAAATGGGCTGATGGCTTTGAACTACGCCATATCTTTATGTTTTGCGACAAACGACAACTTTATAAAATCAGTGTAGCAACTTTTAAAAATCATCATATCGTTTACTTGGCAAATTCGAAGGACGAACTTGTCTTAGATTTCACCCATCTAAATCATATCATATTTGCACATAACAATATACCTACTTACTTCCCATTAAAGTATAAATTCTACAAATAAATAATACTCAACAATATTTAAAATAAAATGAGCCAAGAACGTTTATCGATATAACCTGATAACATTGAAATCTTTTGTACAGCGCTAAAGCCGCCATGTTTTGTGGCCAGATGACGTCACAGTGGTACGAAATTTTGGTTGACGTTTCATTTCCATAGGTTTCCTACTTCATTGGATCTGTCAGAGAGATAAACGTTGACAGATGTGGTAAGTTGAAGCGACGACATAGATTTAAAAGCTGGTTAATAAGTCTTCTTCGCCGTGCCTTCAGCAGCTTAAGATCATTTTTATACTGGAGATTTCAAGCGACGATACCATATTCCAATATAGAACGAATAAAACTAATTATATAAGGCCTTTTAAATGTATGAATCTAAAGCCTTATAATAAACCTTCATTTCGAGCCTTTATTTCTAAGCCTTTTCCATTATTCTTATCATTTAACATTTCATTCTTATTAATGGATTCGAAATCGATCTCAATTCCAAATAAACAGGCGAACATATATAATTGTCTATATATACAGCTCTCTGCTACTTACCTTTTTCTTTTTCTTCAGCTTCTTCTGGTGTAGCTCTAGTAAGCTTTCCTCCCTTTTGTGTTTCTTTTTATGTTTTCTGTGAACAAAAATAAAACATAGAATTAAACACTACGGTAACATAAATCGATAGTGAAATACGCTATAATGCAATACTTTTGTTTTTACGGATTATTTTTTTTCCTACCTAAGCTGATAGCCTTAGGGGCTATTTCAGCGTAACCCTAACGTTTGTAGGTGAGCTCACGGGGCTCAAATCTGATGACGTTGCTAACACGAACCCTAGCAAGAGCCGTGCTTCGCAGAATCTACCACCGGATCGGAAACGCGACCCACTGAGAAGATCCGGCGAGAAGCTCAATGGGCTGTGTCTGAGAGTTAATTTACTCGTCGAGCCCTTCGTCGCAAGTGACGGGTTCGACGAGAACGGTGACCGGTGCTTGAAGTACCTAAAAGCACCGTTACTGGATCGGGCGGATATTATACATGTTCAGTGAAGATAAGGGTTGTCGCATACCCTAGACATAACTTAAACTAATTTTAAGTTTTAATTTCGAGATGAATTACTTTTATTTCTTACGTATCGAATACTTTACCGTTTCGTGGTCACGGATAACTAGGGAAGTAGTTATTCGTCGACATTTGAATATTGCGAAAACTACATATGATTTCGCAAATATTATTACGTTCCTAAAACCAAAAAGGGAAACATAATATTAGTTCAAAGCAAAACTAATTTACGAAAAACTAAGCATAAAAATACTCTTAGTTTTCTAAGTTTCAATTTCGTGAAACCAAACGTGATTTGCAAACCAAAGACAACTAGACTAGACTAAACTAGACAATTAGAAGCCGCCACTTTCCCAAGAGAACGATGACCCGCACGTCAAACGTTTTTTAATTATGTTACAGTGCGTGCCAAAAACTAGGTTTTTCTGCATACGATATACGATGTATTACATTTAATTGTTTCTTTTTTTGTGAAATGAGTTTCCTTACAAAAAAATCAATTATTCTGTAGTAATAGCTGGGTTTTTTTTCAAGTTTATTGCTTCGAGCACACGGCCCAACTAGTGTTGAGTGGATATCGAAGCCCATAGACATCAACAACATAAATACCGCCACTTAACTAACTTAATACGCGAAGTTTAAGTCTGAGGTTTACAGTACAGGTATACCCACAAAGACGCTCTATCACCATTAAATTAGGAATCTGTGACTTCAGAATAAAGGTTTCCGTGACTTCCGTAAATACGGTTACTTAATTCAAATTCAACGCTATTTTTTTTAGCTTTTGTCAGTGATAATGTCCTAAATAGCGCAACCAAATCTGACGGCACTTTTATTGGCAGATAGATAATTACGGTTTTTGCATATGGGGTTTTTTTTTTTTGTTGTAGTACTTTTCACTTACCAACTACAATTACTACGAGACTTCATTTGGAATATTATAATGGACGAAATAATGAATGGTTTTACATGATTCTTTATGTATTTTTACTCTGATTACTCATTATATTATATTCCTTGGTTACAAATTTAAAGCGGTCTTCCCTACGAGCCACATACGAGGCATGTCAATCAATTATTTATATTAAAACAAATAGCATCATCAAACAAATTGGTCAGAGCCATACACCCGAGTATGAACTTTTTCCTTAAATGTCATAAATTGTAAGTGAAATTTTAATTAAAACAAAAAAATTGCGTATGTTAAAAGTTTAGGTTCTTCGCATATGTGCGTTTGTTGTTTTCCGATATCCATAAGACAATGCATATCATTACATATCATGTAATTGTTTCATGGGAGAAAATCTATTCAATAAAATATGAGAATTGATTGTTACGATTACCACACGTTATTTTTTTTTTTTTTTGTCTTTTTTTCTTTTTTTTTTATTGCCCTTGTAAGCAGACGAGCACACGGCCCACCTGATGGTGAGTGGTTACCGTCGCCCATGGACTTCAGCGATGCCAGGAGCAGAGCCAAGCCGCTGCCTACCGCTAAACTGTCTGTAGTTTATTTAGATTTTTGCTTACTTCACAGCATCTTCCTGTTCTTTGTCCCTGGTTTCTATTTGTCGGGACTTAGCTTCGCGTTGCAACGCAGACGCTGCATCTTCTTCTTTAACTTGACCCGCTGCTTTTCTAGCTTTATCCTCGGGGTTATCTGTCCAACTTGACCTAGAAGAATGATAAAATCTAACTTATAAAAATCGTACGACTTTGAAGTATGATTAAAAAAAAAAATCGGTTTTTATCTGATTGGAGTTGAAATTATGTTGACAGTTCAGGTTAAATTTTTTGGTACACTTAGCAATAGTTACGACATTGAAGCTACACTCACCATATGTGCATTGTTGCCACCTCATTGTTGAGAAAAGATACTACCAGCGCGATATAAGGCTAAGTTATCGGGGGCGAAATTGTTGGCGGTAGAATTACTGGTGGTAGGACCTCTTGTGAGTCCGCGCGGGTAGGTACCACCACCCCGCCTATATCTGCCGTGAAGCAGTAATGCGTTTCGGATTGAAGGGTAGGGCAGCTGTCGTAACTATACTTGAGACCTTAGAACTTATATCTCAAGGTGGGTGGCGCATTTACGTTGTAGAAGTCTATGGGCTCCAGTAACCACTTCACACCAGGTGGGCTGTGAGCCCGTCCACTCATCTAAGCTATAAAAAAAAGAATACCTATTTACATAATATATATCTATAAATTTCAGTATCCTAATGATAATCCTTGTGATTAATGTGCGAATTTTTCTGCTTAATTCAACAAATCATGATGTCAATAATTTAAAAAAATATTTGGTTGAGTTTCTAAATCATTTTATTTGACTTTTGTTTATCTTAATTGTTAACTACACTCACCTATCAGTCATGTCTGGTCCTTGTTTCGCTCTAAAGCTTCGTGCTTCTAATCCTAAATATTTAGCCTTGGCTTCAGGAAGTTCCAACATCCATTGTTCACGGTGTTTAACTTTTTTAGTTACCGAATGGCCTTCTATCTGTTTAAGTTTCATGTCTAAAGCACGCTCCTCCAGACGTTTGTGGGCGTCAGAATATTTCTGTTCTGAACCAACTGGCAAAGGACCAACACAGGAATCCTCATCGGAACTTTCATATTTGATGACTTCTCTTGTAGCTAATACTTTACGCATGTCGTCAGGAATGGAAGGACCTGTAAACAATATAATATGTTACAAGATTTTCAACCTTATAGTAACTAGACAGATTGGAACTTTCCAAATAAAAATTGTAAATTGTTTTAAATTTCTTTTACAGTTGAATGTAGTAAGTGAACAGAGTGTAAATCAGATGTTTGAAGTTATGCAATATATTTAGATGTAAGGGCATTACCCATGTTAGTAGACGTCTGGATTCCTGTTTTTTCTTTTTCTGAAGATTTTTTACTACTGTACCGATCTTGCAAATGTGGTGGGAGAGCTGGTCCGCACACATCCATTTTCTGTGTTGTACTTTTGAGTGAAAGCAATTTGTGTCTTAAATCCATTGGATCAATGTCCACTATTTCTTGAGAATCTTCACTAAATATTTCTCCTTCTTCACTGCTCTCTTTTTTAGTACTTTTCTGAGTAGAAGTCACCTCAATGGCAACTTCCTCAAGGTGTGTGAATTCTTCAGTCTGTATTTTATTTTGAATATCTGTGGTGCTTGTAACTTCTGCCAATGTTGGGTTATCTAATTCTCGCTCTGGGGATTTTGAATTTTTTTTTGAATGTCTCTTTTTGTGTTTCCTTTTTTTTGTTTTATGCAGCTTCTTTTCTAAATTTAAGAGTTTGGCTCTCAGTTTCTCGTCATCAGAGGAGTCTATTTCACTGGACTCTTCTGTTTTGTCTTTAATTATAGCTGGTATCATACTATAGTAGGATCCAGGTTGAACTTCAGTTGATTTGTCACTATCATTGTCTTCAACTATAATAGGACTATCACTTTTTCTTTTTAGAGATGTAGGTGGAGCTTTATAGACTTCAGAACGTTTTCCTTTAATATTAGGAGACAAGGATAGGCTTTCTCTCGATTGCTTTTCCAGTTTATTGGGTTTAGGGGTGATGGCTTGCCTAATTTCATCTTTCAAATCTCTCTTTCGTTCATTTAATTTATGTGATCTTGATCTAGAGCTTCTCTTCCTGTCTTTACTACTACTTCTATGATCTCTGGGCTTAGAATCAGGTCTGGAGATTCTGTCATGTCTATATCTTTCACGAGATCTGTAGGGGCTCCTCTCTTCCTTAGGATGGGGGTCATCTAACCGCCTTCGTGGAGGGCTTCTCTCTTTAGAATGTCTTCTCTTAGGTGAAATTCGTGTACTTCGATGTCTATCTTTGTCTCGTATTTTCCTATCAAATCGACTAACTTCCTCTCTTCTTTTAACATATTCTCTGTTAAATCTGTTTTCTATATTCCTATTTCTTTCAGTAGGTCGGTATCGATCTTCCCTTTGATGAGATTGTTCATCCTTTGGTTTTTGACATTTAAATCTACCTGTTTCTGAATCACTGCTGGACTCATCAGAAATCATTTTCACACCTAAAAGCAAACAAAGGAATTTAAAAGGAGATTGAAAGAAATAAATTACTTAACAACTGATTTTATTATTAATATATATATTTATATATACATATAAACTATCTATGTAATAGAACACAGTAGCCTTAAAACATTTTGGCAATTTTTTTTACACTGTAGCGTAAAGACTTTAAGAAACCAGCTGTTAAAATGCCTTTTAATGATTGTCGTACACTTGATTGCCAAACTAAATCCTTTAAAATCTGCCTTAGTATCACAGGACAATCAATATCATATGCTACAGCACGTAACACATCCTCCATATCTTGTTGAGGACCACCATGGTTCCAGAACTTGACTATTCTTTGTTGTGGCACCATTGGTAGCTGCATGAGGTGATGTAATTTTGTTTCTGGATGTAAATCTTGATGGCACTGAGCATCACCCGAGGGAAAGTCTACATATGTATGGAATTGTTGCAAGATAGGTCTGTACAGTTCACGAAAATTTACTAACTGGGGCTGGACAATGTTTCTCACTTTGTTTTTGTTCTCCCCAAATGTCATTCTAAAATCTCCAGCATAACTCAAATTAGAAATGGCAAAATAGAAGTCATATTCAGAAAATGTTTCTGGTAGAATAAGAAGCGCTGTGTGAACTGCAGAGCGTAGATTGGATTGTAAAGCACTTTGCAATTGAGAACTGTTGGTTTGTTTAATGATCTCTACTGGTTTGTGTAGACGGCCAGCAAGGTATAAGTCAGTCCAGTCGAGTAGATCACCAACTAAGTCCTTTTGAGAAACAACACCATACTTGATAGTAACATTTTCTTCTTTTAATTCAACAAGGGTGTTGAAATATACTTTCGCCCCCCAATTCTCCTGGAATCTTGCAACAAATCCTTTGCCTAGAAATCGAAGTGCTGAATAATGCGATGGATTTTGTTCAATATTAGATCCGTGCCATCTATAAGAGTTATCGACGCAGTATATGAGGTCGATCATGTTATGTTTATTCTGATTTCCGACTTGTGGTTTCACAGCAGAGCCATATGCGAAGCAAAATGTGAAGTTTTGAGGAAATTTGGAGAGGATTCTATAGTAAATCGGTGACACATCTCTGATTATGCTGCCAAATGTTTTAGCGGCGGTAGATACCATTATAAAATTAGAAGAAATAGCAGCTGACCTTTAGAGCACAAATCTATTCTTCAAACTTGATTGTGATGTTGCACTGATGTAATATGGTTAATTAGCTGGGAATTTAGATTTTGTTGTTACATTTACAATTAAATAGTTATCTTTGACGTTGAATTAAACTTTCGAAGTAACTTTGTCTTCGTTTTGTATATTCGAATAATATCTTCCCATCAATGTGCTAGCTATCATCTGCTACGATAATAAAGTGCCTCCAATATGTGCCCCCGAACCCAAACATGCACATTATTATCCAATGTCCATTATGTTACACATTAGTGTTTAATCTATGGGTTACACTTTATGGTACACAGATCAGTACTTATGATACCTACCTACTTGATGTAAAACCGTAAAGTGGGGTGATTAGGGATTGAGAGGTGAATGGGGAAAAACCAGGAAAATCTTTAGTCGCTCAATATTAGTTTTATGTTCGTTGCAAAATCTTCCATTTTTTGTAGTTTAATAGTAGAATGTTGAAAGTTTATAAAAGAACTCTGAATATGCATGATAATAGCTGCTAACTTTTAAAAAATTGCATTTCAAATTGACTTCTTGTGGTGGTAATTATTTTAGTGTTACAAACTTTGCTCTTTTTTATTTATTTCATAATAATAGAAGACGACTGTGATTTATAAACGTTATTTAGTGTTTGAACCATCACATATATTAAAGGTAAATCTCAGTTGTTATTGGTTTTAATATTTTTTGATAATATAGAAATACATATAAAAATCTGTTGTTTTTGGGGATATTGGCGACGTCTCAGGTACAAATAACAAAGAAAAGGGGGTCAATTGGGATGAGAATAAGTTAAATGGCAACGACTTAAGTATTAATAGGTACACGTTTGTAGGGTTGTTTAAGTAGTTATTACAACCTTTACCTAAGTACAACCTTTTATAGATGTGTTGGTAAAAATCTGGTTTATTCATGATGTTTTTGTCTAGAAATTTATTCTAAATTATCATAGCAGTGTTATTTTATTGTTTGGCAAATATTTATATTATCAGTTAAGTATTGTTTTCTATTTTTAGATATGACTCGCATGTACATAACAAAGAGTGCAAAGCCTTATAAGAGATATGATCCCTTAATATTAAAAACAGCATTAGAAATTGGGAATAAGTCTTTAGTTGAAATAGCTAAGCAATTTAATATAAGTAGGTCGGTTTTGCACAGACGTGTAACAAGAACAATGAAATCTCAAGATGGACAAAAATGTCTAAGTAATACATAATAAAATATATTAATTTTGTTCAGAGCTGGGGTATCCACTTGTTTATTGATGGAATAACTGACACACTTAATCTCTTAACCTAGATAAAAATATCAGCCCCTAAGTACATACTTACCAAGAACGAAGAAATATAAACCGTTTATAAGAAAGCCCGCTCGTTCGAATTTAAGTGTTTACTCTCCCTTAAACAGAATCCTTTGGGACTACAATAATGTCCACGGTAGCGCAGTCTCCGTCAATGTTTATTCGAAGTTGTCCGATTGCGCTGAACTAATTATGAAATTTTGATAAGAAATATTTTTGCCATGAAAGGCAATTAAATTAAATGATGTTAGTAAGATAAGTCAATACCGTTAGTTTTGGAGATGTTTTTTGGATAAAAGACAGTCCGGCGATCTGTTTCATTTTAGAAAGAAGAAACACGAACTCGCTCGTTTTTTCGTTAAAAAGTGACTCTCAGAGATACACCTTCCATTAAAATGTAGTAATTTGGACTGTGACAAACATCAGAGAATAGTTAATTTATCATAGAATAGAACGAATATACTGTGCATGAATAAAAATTAAAAAAAAAATCTTTGAAAAACTCATCTTTTGAGGTGAATGAAGTTAGCCCCTCAAAAAAAATTTTTTTTCCTATTTTATACTTATTTTCTATTAATTCGTTTGTTCATCATTTGTTCATGACTGTTCACTGTTAATAATTGTTTGTTCTGCAGTTATTTATTTTAAAAAAATATTTAAAAATATACCTACAAGTTAGCCCCTCTAATGCAATTTTTATATTTTTTCATCCTTAATGACTCGTAAATATTCATTTTCGATTGTTCTTATATAAAACACGTTTGTTCTCTTTCGAAATTACTCGTTTTTTGTTTAATTTACTATTTTTATTAGTTGAATAAATGTATGCAAAAATGTGTACTGCGCATGCGTCAACTATAATGCCTAAACTTTCTACGCGGTTTTAATCGTAAAAAAAAACAAACATAAATCCTGAAGGAGCAATTAATTGGTATACAGTTTATTAAAAAAAATAAAAAATAAAAAAATGAAATAATGTGCATTGGCGTTAAGATAGACCAAATACATTTTTTCCATCCTCTTACCTATCGTATTAAAATGTTATTTTACTAATGCTAGGAATATAATTTCGACTGTGTAAAAAAGTTATTATAATGTATACCTATATTATCTCTTGAAAGATAAATAATGAACATATTTACTTATTTGTTTATATTACCTATGTGAACTCCCTATCTTTTTTATACCTTCATAACGATAAGTAGGAGGATGGAAAAAATGTATTTGGTCTAACTTAACGCCAATGCACATTATTTCATTTATTTATTTTTTAATTTTTTTAATTAAACTGTATACCAATTAATTGCTCCTTCAGGATTTATATTTGTTTTTTTTTTCACGATTAAAACCGCGTAGAAAGTTTAGGCATTATAGTTGACGCATGCGCAGTACACATATTTTGCATACATTTATTCAACTAATAAAAATAGTAAATTAAACAAAAAACGAGTAATTTCGAAAGAGAACAAACGTGTTTTATATAAGAACAATCGAAAATGAATATTTACGAGTCATTAAGGATGAAAAAAATATTAAAAATTGCATTAGAGGGGCTAACTTGTAGGTATATTTTTAAATATTTTTTTTAAATAAATAACTGCAGAACAAACAATTATTAACAGTGAACAATCATGAACAAAAGATGAACAAACGAATTAATAGAAAATAAGTATAAAATAGGGAAAAACAAAATTTTTTGAGGGGCTAACTTCATTCACCTCATCTTTTGTTTATAGCACGACAGTTCAATGCTGCCATGAAATGCATTAAAAATTACCGTACCACGACAAATAATTATCACCAAAGTGTAGAGAGGAAAATATTATTGTCAAATCATAAATATTAAATTGCAAATACCGACAAATTGATTGCGATAATCGAGACAATACAGATATTTATTTCTCATTATATAGTCCTCTAGTTTCAGTTCATTGAGTTCTCTTATCCCAGAGTTAAAATGTCAAGTGCTGATCGAATTGATTTCGAAATGGAAGTGGAAGTAGAGAGTGCATCTTCAGGTCCGCCGATTGAAGTGCCTAACCCAACATCCCCGGCGCCTACAACACCAGGCAGCAATAAGAGTGTAGTAGTTACGACTGCTACAGCCGGTTCGGTGACCGTCTCTCTCCATCCTTTAGTTATTATGAATGTTTCAGAACATTGGACGCGTCTTAAGGCACAGGAAGGCTTTCCTCAAACAGGTAATTTATACGACTAATTATTATAAATATAAAAAAATGCTTGATCATTTCTCTTCGCATGTTAGTCACTAAAATGTACTCTTGCACTCTTTTTTTAAGAATACAATATAGTATAACTTAATTATAACTGCAGTAATACAAAATTGTAACATAATATTTATTTACCTGCTGCGCATAGCCAGGAAGGCAATCCTCAGGAACATGGGCAACCTAACAAATACTTTTGTATATAAATTGTCAGCCTAACCATGACCACTCACAAGAATGTCAGACTAAGAAGAAGAAGATTGAAATAATTGTTGCAAATCAACAATAAAATTAGAAAAAAGTCATAATCTTATTATTGATTGATAAAAGAAAAAAGTCATAATTTTATTATTGATTGATAAAAGAAAAAAGTCATAATTTTATTATTGATTGATAAATTTATTATTAATTAACATTTTTATGTAATATTCTTAATAACTTAGGAAAATAATAAGTTAAATAAAATAATTTGGTTTTTAGTCGTTGGAGCTTTAATTGGGAAGCAAAAAGGTCGTAACATTGAAGTAATGAATTCATTTGAATTAGTGTTCAGTATGATTGATGGAGACATTATTATAGATAGAGATTATTATAATATGAAAGAGGAACAATGTAAGTATAGAAATTAATTTAACAAAAAGTATAAAATAATTAAATATAGTATTTTACAAATCTACTCAAAATAAAGTAGAACAACTATGTTATAAACATTGTTTTATTTTTTATGGAAGTGAAATGATTTCTGAGATATTTCAATAGATAGATCACCTTGTGGGTTGAGTTGTAGGGAACTCCTATTTATTATTTATCAAACGGTATTATTGCTATTAACATAGATAGGTAGCTGAGCTTAGGTCCCACCGGGTGCTGTTTGATTACTTAGGCCTAGAGAGGCATATCAGGAAATTACCCACCTATGCTATAAACAATTGTTTAATGGTGGCTCAAGATTGTAATCATAGCTGAGTTTTATCTCTTGGTACAAGGAAACAACTATCTTACCCATTATGGGCACTTGATAAACTAAACACAGTTCTCAATATTTAATTTATTTTCTTCCTTCAGTAAATTAATTCAATGATTCCAGTCAAACAAGTGTTTTCTGACATGGATTTCCTCGGATGGTATACAACTGGAGATGCTCCCTCAGAACGTGACATAGCAGTTCACAGACAGATCTGTGACATTAATGAGTGTCCTGTGATGTTGATGTTGAATCCGGCAGGCAGAAATGGTGATGTAAGTTTGTAAAGACTTGGTGTGAAATATATGCACAACCTTATAAGATGTGTGTTTAAGAGAAAAGCATTATTGCTCTTCTTATATTGACAGTCTATTCAGAACACTAATGGAAGAGAAAACAAAGTGCAATCTTATTAATATTGTCTTTAGTTTATCAGTCTTACATAAAGATTAAAGTTTGGTGCCAATGTTCGATAAATATTTTTACAAAAATAGTTTGATGATGTTGTTACTGCTATCAAATAAGCTAAAAAGCTTGATAAGTTATTGTCACTTTGTCATCATAGGCATTGTGGTACTTAAATAATTTGTTCATTGTACATATTCCCCTTCTATTATACCTTCTTTGTAGGCAGCGGCTTGGCTCTGCCCCTGGCATTGCTGAAGTCCATGGGCGACGGTAACCACTCACCATCAAGTGGGCCATATGCTCGTGCAGCTCGTCTGCCTACAAGGGCAATATAAAAAAAAAAAACGACTTTTTGAGCTCTTAATTCTGTAACAAATTAGTCTGTAACAATATAATAAATCTTAAGCAAAAAATTTTACTGCAAGCTTAATAATTTTAAATTTATTTTCTATACAGCAATTACCGGTAGTTTTGTATGAATCAGTAATTGATGTGGTTAATGGTCGTGCCACAATGCTTCTAGCACCTTTAACATATACATTAGCCGCTGAAGAGGCTGAAAGAATTGGAGTAGATCATGTTGCCAGAGTTTCATCTGGAGAAGCTGCTCTCAATAGTTTAGGTAAGTTTTGAATTTTAAATAGCAGTCAATCAAACATGCTACTTTCTGCAACTGATAAGACTCAGATAGAATAAGTTGAATCCAGCACTTGGCAAATTAATATCAATTCTGAAAACAATTGCATTTTCTGCTGATATTGTAATAAATTAATGTATTTTCTACTTTTAGTTGCCGAACATCTGACTGCACAAAGATCGGCTATAAAAATGTTAGTTTCTCGTGTACGGGCCGTACTTGCGACAGTACGCGCTATAAGGGATGGTAAACTTCAGCCTCGACCGGCTTTACTAAGGGAGGCGCGTGCTCTCGCCAACAGATTACCTCTGTTGACTTCACAGCAGTTCCGGACACATTTCTATAATGTGAGTAAGATTATATATTACTGACGATTTGTCACTTAATAGATAATGAGAGTAGTATACAGTATTTGTGTGCAGTGTATGTGTGCACGAACGACTCTTACAGCATAGCTCTTACTCATACCGCAGTTTCCTTAGAAAAATTTGTACCTTCCTGTGGTATTTTAACACCGGTATAGTCGCGTTGTTTCGTACATGTACTCCGCACATCTTATAAGTTAGTCCACAACGTCATAAGTAAGTGTGGTAGGTACAATTGTCCTGTTTATTTCTGCCGAGAAACAATATGTGCACCGTTATGATGTGTGGAATATTTCTTATATGCGCACCGTTGTAATGTGTGGAATAGTTTTCACACAATACTACCGTCAACTGAGCCTTCGTACTGGTGTCTCAAGAAAGGTGGCGACATTCACGTTGTGATGTCAATGGCCTCTGGTAAGCATTCGTTCGGACATCAGTGTGCTTAGTGCGAATTTTATCAACTCAGAACAGCTTCCCTTCGTTTGCCGCTAGGGGCGCTGTTCTTACTCCATACAAATTTAAGTTCATTTTTACGCGATCGAGAAATAAAAAACTCGCACTAAGCCCAGAGTTAGTTAATTGGCGAGGCCATTATGAGTTTTCCATCGATTTTAAGAATAGAGAAATATTAGTAGTCGCTGTTTTCTTGGAATACGTGTCCATCGTGTTAGTAGGATTAAAGTATTAAGTCGTATCAGTCATTCGTGACCACGAAAAGTGTAAAGTCAATACTTTACACTTTTCCTTACTTACACGTCCGAAATAAGTATAATGACAATAAAAAAAATGAGATTAAACCGTAACAGTAGTTTGGATTAAGTAAATTAGGCTTTTGTAAAAATTTTAAAGTGTATATCTGTTTTTTTTTACAGCAATGCAACGATGTAGCCCTAATGACATACTTAGGAACGATCACGAAGGGCTGCAACGCTATCAATCAACTTGTGAATAGATTCAACGTGCTCTACGACAGACAGGGCATGGGAAGGCGCATGCGAGGACTCTTCTTTTAGGGCGGACGTTAATATCATAAAAGAAATGTAACGAATGACGTTAATAACGGGTACCGTCTGCAAAATATATTGTACAATTGGTTTTGTAACTGCAAATATTGTGAATATTTTGCTTGTGGACCGTAATAATTATGAACTGCACGTACGAATTTTTGTTTCAAAAAGCTCACAAAAGTGAAAACATCTAGAAATATGGGTATAGAATTATGTGGAAGACTGACTGGTTACCAAACAAATTAGCTTATATTTTTCAAAATGAAATATCCACATTCTAGTAAGCTGTCTGAAGACTTAAAATGGCAACATAAACTCCTTCAAGAATAGACTTTTTGAATATTTTTTTCTAAACTTACATGTATGAACGAAATATGTTTGTTATAAAATCATAATTCTAGTTTGAAATATTTTTTTCCACTAATTCTATACCAAGTAATAAATAATTTATTTTTCTTCTGATTTAAAAGTACTTTAATATAACTTCCACATGTAAAAGGAGCCAAGGAAAGTATTTGTATGTTATTTTTATCCTTTTTGCCCCTTACAGCCTTTAGACGTCCTTATCCGAAATTCTATTCACTAGCCGAGCAATTTGAGTCTTTAAATTAAACACTTTAAAATTTAATTCTAAAAACATGAAAAACAATATTCAGTGTATGCTTGTAAGCCTTGACCTTAAGAAATAAATAAATACGAAATAAATAAATACGAAAAAGAAATAAATAATAAAAAATAATAAACGAAAATTGTCATATAATTACCTTTTTTAAATAATTAAATGTATAAGTAATAAATTAGTTTTAATTTTATTTATTTGTGAGCTGTTAACCCACAGCTTCCCTTGCGGGGACTACACTTCATATAAATGGTCAACTATGTGATGAAAGGTAGCTTATTTGACCGACTCGGTGGTGCAGTACTCAGAGCCTGTGGCTGTAGCGTCGAGGGTCGTGGGTTCGATCTCTACATCGGGCAAACATTCACGTGGTGGAGTTTTGTTTGCTCTTTGTCTGCCTGTCTGTTATCTATATACTGGGTGTTAGGAGGCCGCTTCCGAAAAAGAAGACAGGCGATAGTACTAACGATACCTTTGATGATGAGACGGAAAAAAATCGATCCTGATTAAAAAAATATCATATTTTTAAAACGTTTTATTAGCATTATTTTCGCTCCATAATGTCAGTACAGCTAAATGAAACGATAGTTTACAAATACACCAAATTTCAGTATTTGTGTTATCTATTGTTTATGGGTTGTCCTAAAAATTAAAAATCCAAAACGTTGTTAAGAGTGTCAATTATGTTTGTTCTAGATGTATTCAAAGAGTTGTTGAGATGCGTATAGGTTACCTTTGCATGCTCAACGTGAATAACTCCACACATCTTGAAACATGAGATCTCTAGCAATGGTCCTTCGAGCCGTATCCAAAGGCCGGAAGTCAATGTTGTGATGACTGCCGTATCTGTTTCTGGACTGGCCTTTAACGTATTAAGGTTTTTGTCATCATTGTTTTACAAAATAAGTAGCTTTCGGACATGTACTTATCAAGGTATGTTTTAAAGCTTAAGAGATTTCAAGTGACATAAGTTTTTTCAGTGGTCGTATTCATTATGAGCCTCACGTGTCTAGCTTTTTCGAATTATAATTAATCACATTTTAGAATAGTTTGTAGGTTAACAATTAAAACAAATAAAATTCGACGCAATTGATTTATTTCCCACCCACATGTTTGGTAAAATTAAACTTTGGACACATCGAGATTCATGCGATGGAAGACTTTGTCGAATGTAGACTTTATTGATATTAATATTTATTGATGTGTGATGTTACAAATCAAACGCACTATAATATGTATAATATTCTCTTACAACTACGATGAAAATGATTATAAGAGTGATAATTATTATGATAAGTAACAAAACCGCGTTGTAAGTATTTGCTACAGCTGCATATTTGTGAATGTGTAGTTTTAAAATTAACATTTATAAATCTGGGATGTAAATTAATAGATGCTAACAAAATCAAATAGTGATATCAAGCTACTAACAGCTCTGTAGTAAAACTTATAAATTAGAAACCTTCATACATGGTTTTAATTTGATAGTTTTTGTATAAAAATACATTTCAAAGTTTGTATTTATATAGAGTCGAACTAGTATTGCTTTCGTGACTATGTCGTAAAAAGTATCTAAAAGTCAACAGACATGTAAAATAAGACACAGTTCAACCACATTATTTTGTTATTAGATATTAAAATACAAATAAATGCATCGTGGTGTAACTAAATGAAAGCTAAACGTATTATTTTCGTGCCTACAACATATTTTTTGTCTTTGTAATAAAATAGAAAATGATCCGAATCGTTAGTTCGAACCGTGGTAGATAATTATGAACCTTATTGTCGCTGCGATAGGGTCGACTACGTGTCGTCCGGTATCTTCTCGATTCCGATGAGTTCGTCGAAGAGTGAGTGCTTGTCGGGAATGACGTGAGGCTCGTGTATGATCAGACGCGCGAACTTGAGCACGGCTCGAGTCAACTGGCCGACTGTCCACTTTCTGTCCACCAGAACTCGAACTACGGTATCCAGCTAAATGTTAGAAAATCATTAAATTAATATAGAGAAGTGCATTTATGTGTAATCAAAGTCTTGTTATATAATACTAACCAGAAATAAAAATAAGTCTTAGTGAAACTCTTAAGCTATTTTTGAAAACCTACCTATAGATACAAAAATGAAACACCTATCAATAGATTTAAAAAAAAGGACGCTCCAATGCTTTTATTAGCGCTGTATATTTTAATATTATTTTAATTTATTTTATTATTAATATTATTTTATTTTATTGATGAGTGATTGAAGTCATAGTATATCTAGTGGTGGATTATAATGTGAAACTGGAGATATGTGGTCTAGGTCCCAGTGATATCCCTCACGAGTCGTGGAGATGAGAGGGGGAAGAAGTCCCCGGTGGCAGATCCCGCCCAACGTAACATTGGGGTGGGAGCCGGCGAAGGCGGGCCTATGGCGCGCACATGGCGGTACCTGGGTCCCCGTCCAGCCGGAGTGGAGGAGCTCGTTGGGGTTTAGTCGGTAGTCGTTAAGCTGGGCGGGCTTGGCGAGAGCCGAACTTAGCCCAGCGCGCCTTTCTAAAGGCGTAGTCTCCTATGACTAATCCGACCCCCGTCGGCAGGGTATCCGTAAAGAATGGGATTCCCCATCGATACCAAAAAAAAAAAAAGGTCCCAGTGATATAGTATAAAGGTCGCCCATCAAACCGGAAGACAATGCTTCGCGGCCGAAATGAGCACGGTGACGGTAGCTACCCGTGCAAACTCACAATGTACCAGTAATTTAAATATAATACAATAAATCCTGTAAATTTGCGTAATTATGGTTGTTAGTCTATTCTGAGTTCGCAGGGGTCCATCATCGTTCTTTATATTTCTGCTACGAAACTGTTGTATTTTGGTTTGAATGGTGAAACAATCGTTTTAAAATTCTCGGAATATTAGGATACATGCGACGCCAATGCATTCCGATAACGACTGCCCCTCTACTACATCTTTAATTAATTACATAGTTATGTATGTTTGTGTAAAATGTAGCTCCTCATTTTATACAAACATAACTAAACTATTTCTCTGGGAAACGGCTATCTCATGTTACTTCTATTTCGCCTTCTATTTCGAATCATCTGTTCCTATTAGAAGTAGGATTCTGACTGTGATATGCTAAGAAGAAATGCATATGATTTCCTAGGATGGCTTACATCAGACAGATGGCAGATCGTATTATCATTAAGAAAATTTAAAGTACAACATGGATTATTTTGGACGTCAAAGTGGCATTGAGGCAAGAATACATTGAATAAAATGTATCTCTAACAGAGCATGTGTTTTTTTATGATCGAAGGATTACTGGTAGCCCGGTGGCCTTTCCATTTTCACCAGAACAGGTGGGCGAGCAAAGGCTCAGTCAGGAGGGGTGGAAAAATGAAAGAGCATGTGTCTATCTAAAGCACGTTACCTTATAGAGTTTCTCGTTTCCGAAGGTGTAGTATATGAGAGCGGGGAGACCGGCGACGCTGGCGGCGAGCCACTGCAGCAACAGCTTGAGCTGTGGGTGTCCGCGCTGCCGGTGACCGCAGCCCCAGTTGCCGGTCGCCACGGGCCGAGACGAACTTCCCGACACGATCTTGTGGGCCAATTGGCTTAACTGTACAAACCCGCCCGAACTCAATCATTCCGTTGGAGACTGCATGTTTCGTAGGGTAAAAACATGCTTTAGAATTATGAAAAGTTGATCGTCTATTTATGTGGTCTTTCCCAGAAAATGCTTCAAGTAAAATAAATCTCTTCTCGAAATTTAAAGGAGAACCGGTGATTTTTTTATATTAATCACGTTTGTCTAAAATTAATTTCACTTTACGTACTGCAATAATCCACGTGAAACATGTTGATATAACATTTTTAGTTTTTACCAGCAATCACAGAGTTGTAGATATTATGAAAGAACATAGACGTTTCTAACGCTCTCCAGTTCTTAAATGGCTACTGTATTTGATGATCATCAGCAATGGCCGCTACTTACCGTCGACGATTCTTTTAAAACCTTGTTTGAAGAAATAGGTGTTATAGCGGGTGACCGAAAGAAAGATTGTGTTAATAGTTTTAAATCAATAATCAAAGTTCATTATAGTCTAATATTAATTGGAAGTTACGGGAATTTGACCTTGGCTCCCTCGAGCTATTGCAGCTAAATCTATCATTAATTTACAGCAGCAACATCTTTATCTATATTTTTAATTATTTTGATAGCTAAGTACTTTTCGTGGGGTATATTGCGTACTCGCAAGCAGAACATACATTTTACAGAAGCATTCATGTATTTAGGTTTAAGGGTAGTGATGTACATAAAACTTCCATCTTGTCTCTGAGCGCACCACGTTGCGTTGTCTACGGCATCCAGTATCCGCTTAACTTTAGCTGTGTAATCTCGTTTGTGTATTTAACTACATTTATTAAATGGTTAAAAAAATTAATCAAATCCGTATATGTATATGTATATGTAAAATGCGATTTAGGTACTAGTTTTTGTTAAATTCTATAATTTATTGAACAGATGTCTTCTATTGTTAGATATGGACTTTATCAAGAAAAAAGAGAACTAAAGATTAGAATAGGTACTTTTTTTTAGGAAAATTCCCAATTCGATAAATTATATGGTTCACATAGTTTCTAATCTTTAGTGTGAATATAATTTCGGCCTTATAGTTTGTGAGCAGGGAAAAGTTGCAGTAAAACTACAGTAGGTCATGCAAATTGTATGTTTCGACAGAAAGCGAAGACTTTACTCGCATATATTGTTAGTGCATACTAGCCGAGCGTGATTATGTTGAGATTAGCTACAGACAGACGTCTGACCTTTGGTTTCTTAAGCTTTACTGTGACCGGTTCACATTCTACAGTCTCTTCTATAGTGTCTACGATCATATTTATGACCCAGTTTAACTTTTTCCTTCTAACGTTGGGATTGGATATCTGCGTGGAGCTAGTCTCTGTGCTAGCGGACCCAGATCCGTCAGAGTCCTTACAATTCTCTTCGGATAAACGTCTCGTGCTCTCAATTATCTCCTCGGGTATAGATTCTTTTACTTTACGTTTCTGTCAAAACATATGGTACGTTGAATGGTGGCGTAAAAAGCTCTAATAACCTGAAACGGTAACGGAAAGCGGCAGGCACAAATCTCGACATCAGAGCCAAAAGGTCAAATCTCTATCTAGATTCTACAAAAACAACTTTTTGTTCACAAACCGTTTTTGGCTTGCTTCAACCGTCGTGATAAATTTCTTTCGTTAAAAATACATATACTCATCCGGCTGTCATGTAGAAAATTTTTGAGCATCCGTCAGATTAATTCTCAATTGTTTTTTTACAGAATCCGTTGATGTTTTATCCAGAGTAGATAGATTTATTCTAAGTTTATAGTCCAGTCAGATAGTTTTAGTCTATACTAACCAGCTGAGCAGCGAGTCTGTGTCTGTGTCGGGCCAGTTCGAGTGAGAGTGACCTGGCGGCTAGGGCAAGCCGCCGGGGAGTCTTGTCTCTGACGTCACGTCCGTAAAGCTCCGCAGCCTCCGCTGCACCTTCCGTCCCGACGCCGCCTGCACCGCTCGCCATTGACTCACTCAGAGTACGCTTCAAGAGAGAGCCGGCGAATCTGGAAAATGTAAATTTATATAAAATGACAGACGATCCCAGAATTTCCTTTTTACACTATGCGAAGACTAGGAACAGAAAAAGGCTTGCATTCCAATGCATAAAATGAACAATTACGTTAAATATTTCGATTTCTTTTTACTTCTCCGCTGTTTCGCTGGATCTTCTTAACGGGTCGCGATTCCGATTCGGTAGCAGATTCATTCGTGAAGTAGCTACTCTTGAGTTGTTAGGTCTCCCTTGGAGGGACTCGGGTAGCTGTTAGCAAATTCCGCCCCTTCTGGCCGAGCCCTTGCTCGCCCATCTGTCCTTGTGAAACTGGAAAGGCCTCCGGGCCTCCGGGCCACCAATAAACTCGTTGTATGATCTCCGGTTTGATTTATTGAGACTCTCTGAATTGAAAATTCAGTATACGGTATGCGGGGAGAGTTAAATTACTAATTAGTGAAGTAATTCCTGTTTTGGAATCCTCGTGGTAGGTTGGGTTGCGCTACTGAGGCGGATTATTACAAAATACTTATTAAGTACCTTATGACAGCCAAGTCGCGAGAGTCCAACTCTCGTGCTTTGTGTTCTCCAGACCCCGCGTCCATTATGGGATCGTTCAGCCATTGGTTGAACTGCTCGTAAACTTCCTCCAATTCTGATCTATAATGGTAAGGAATTGTATAATTTACACAATTTTCGTTTACCTAAATCGGATTTAAGATCGAAGAAGATTACAAGAAGCCGTCGTGGCCTAAAGGATAAGACGTCCGGTTCATTCGTATGTAGCGATGCACCGGTGTTCGAATTCCGCAGGAGGGTACCAATTTTTCTAATGAAATACGTACTTAATAAATGTTTACGATTGACTTCCACGGTGAAGGAATAACATCGTGTAATAAAATTCAAACCCGCTAAATTATAATTTACGTAATTACTGGTGGTAGGACCTCTTGTGAGTCCGCGCGGGTAGGTACCACCACCCTGCCTATTTCTACCGTGAAGCAGTAATGCGTTTCGGTTTGAAGGGTGTGGTAGCCGTTGTAACTATACTGAGACCTTAGTACTTATATCTCAAGGTGGGTGGCGCATTTTCGTTGTAGATGTCTATGGACTCCAGTAAACAGTTAACACCAGGTAGGCTGTGAGCTCGTCCACCCATCTAAGCAATAAATAAAATAAAAACTGGCCCTAGCAAGAGCAGCGCTTCGCAGAATCTACCACTGGATTGGAAACGTGACCCACTGAGAAGATTCGGCGAGAAACTCAGTGGGCTTGTAGTCCTAATATCGGATCGTGGTATCGGAGGGAACTCACGTGTATTCGGTGCTGAAACTGTACTTAGAACTGTTTCCCGTGTCCTTCCTCCCGAGAGGCCTTCGTCTCGGAGATAAGTCGCCGTTGACTGTCGTTTCCTTGTCCGTCAGCACGAAGCCCCCTGAGCCGCCGCGCTTTATTCTAAATTAGTAATTCTGATTATAATAAATACTCTCAAGGACAGGAGATATTTTTACTATGTTAATTTGAAGAACGTGGAATACACAATTCCTCCATTCATGTAGCACCTTGAGAATTTTAGAAAACAGTCATAGAGTATTTTTGAAAAGGCGTATTGATGGTTAAGTATTGTTCGCTAGTTATTCTGAGGGTTGTAGCCTTTTTTGGAATCACTAGAAAGTTGCTTTTAAATTCAACATGCAAATTAAATGACGTTCATATCGCATTATGTTATGTCATATGTCATAAATTCTTTCAAAATGAAAACATCATCTGTTAACCTTATTTCGTTATCATTAATTCCAGCTCCCGAGATGCTAATGCCGACAGCATAGCTAGAGCTGTCCGTGGACCAGTCCCCGGTGTTGCTACTAGTACAAGAGTCCTCAGCTTCTCTCCGCAAAGCCTCCTTGAGTTTATCCGCAAACGAAATCCTCTTCTCTTCGGTTGATAATTCTTTGTTATACTGGAATGAATTCGGGCGGGCGCTCTCCCCTCTGCCTTCGTCTTCACTACCTGTTTATAAAAAAAATATATAAAAATACTGGATACAATGGAGTTCTAGTTCTCTTCGTCTTTATTACTGGTGGTAGGACCTCTTGTGAGTCCGCGCGGGTAGGTACCACCACCCTGCCTATTTCTGCCGTGAAGCAGTAATGCGTTTCGGTTTGAAGGGCGGGGCAGCCGTTGTAACTATACTGAGATCTTAGAACTTATATCTCAAGGTGGTTGGCGCATTTACGTTGTAGATGTCTATGGGTTCCAGTAACCACTTAACACCAGGTGGGCTGTGAGCTCGTCCACCCATCTAAGCAATAAAAGTAAAATAAAAAAAGTATACCACTAGGTGGGATCGGCAAAGCGATTTTTTCTATTTCATTATCTTCTATCAGAAGTCATCTTAACATTCAATCCTCTTTCTCTCATATCGTCATTCACACACTCCATCCATGTCTTCTTCGGTCGACCTCTTCCCTCTCTACCTTGTACTACAATTTCCATACATCTCCTAGTCACTCGCATCTCCTCTCTACGCATCACGTGTCCATACCACGTTAACCGCTCGCTCTTTTATTTATCAATGACTGGCGCTACGGAGCTCTACGTTTGTATCATAGATTCCGATAGAGATATTCCGGACTTTATTGTGCATCTCATACATCACATTTCAGGAAATTTTTTATTATATTTTTTTTATTTTAAACATTTTACTAAAGGTATTAACGGTACATTCCAATTTATACATTCCTAACGGTTCATTGGACGAAATCAAATCACTTTTCAAACTGACGATTTTGGGGTCAGTTTAAAACAAGATATCCAACCTTGCTAAAGCGGATGCTTTATATGAAATACCTAGTGTGATTTATAAACATTATCTATTAGTAATTATTTAAGCCATCATAGGAATGCGGTGTCAAATAATCAGTTTCACAAGACAATAGAGTACTTAACGGTATGCAGCCGCTTGTTTCTGCCTCTGGCATTGCTGATGTCCATGAGCGACGGTAACCACTCACCATAAGGTGAGCCGTATGCCTACAAGGGCAATAAAAAAAATTACAATAACAATTTACCGTTACCGCGTCATACATCCACGCAAGCGTCCTTTGGGCGCAAAAGCGAATTCTCGCGTCGGCGGAGGGCAGTGTTTTAATGGTTATAAAACAGCACAACTCTTACCGTAATCAAAACTATCATTGGCACTGTGATACTCGTCCTCGCTGGAGTTGCAGCTCGAATACAAGCTGTCCTCCTGCGTGTCTTGGTCGTTGCCCGTGCTTCTGGTCACCGGCAAACATTCCCCGGACGAGCCGAGCACTATGAATCGTCCACGGCGATTGTTCAACATCCCACCGTCCGGGGACAGCCAGCACTTACGCTTAGACAGTTCCACACCTATCGACAATCACTGTGCTTAGTGCGAGTTTCTTAACGTTCTCGATAGCGTAAAAGTTAACTCATATTTGTATGCGGTTGTAACAGCGCCCCTAGCGGCGAACGTAGAACGCGAATTTGTACGCTATCGAGAACATTAAAAAACGCGTACTAAGCAAATTGAGTTATGTTTTTTACTGGTGGTAAGGTGTCTCGTGGCCTGCACGGGGGGAGAGAGGGGCGCCATCATTCTGCCTATTTCTATCGTGAAGCAGTGATGCGTTTCGGTTCTGAAGTAGATTTAGAGCTCACGTCTCAAGTTGGGGGCGACATTTACGTTGTAGACATTTATGGGTTCCGTAGCTTCTTGTCAAGTCGCCGATATTCTGAATTGGTGATTATGTGGCGTTTAAGAACACACTTTTTTATGATGCGTAAGCCGGAACGCAAGAGAGGTGGGAAAAAGAAGATAGTCTGTGACACGGGACTTTTTTACCGCCGAAAAGTAATAAACATTTTCCAAATAAGGTATGACCCAAAAGTCTCTGTCACCAGGTCATAAAATAAAAAAATAAAAAATACCGCCGAAAATTTAAAACGTAAAATAAAATATAATGTCTATAATAACTAATATAATATAATAACTTAGAATTATTTATGCCGCTACAACATAAAACCCCCATTGTTTCAACTGTGGTGTTAATTACATAAAACACGATTTTACGGCGAAATAAAGAAGGGACTCTGTATGGATTCCCTCAATTACTTTGTTGGTACACATAATTGGATATTTATATAAATAATGTTCGATGGTCTGAAGGTCACAGGGATGTTCGTTTATGATAAAAGTTTGTATACGTACTGGGGTCGTTGAGGTTGAGGGTTGCTGCGCAGTAGTTCTGCGGCGACGGGCTCCTGCTGTTGGTGTTGATGGTGCTGCAGGATGAAGCCTGTTTGATGACCACCGTGGCTTCCACTTCTGGTGGCGTGTGGCTAAAGGATTCGCCTGTAAATGTTCAATCAGTCCTTTTTAATGCGCTTTTATTAGCTTCCATGACGATTTGAGAGATAAGATTGGAGAGATCGCGGGACATCGTGAGACGCATCAAGTCTGCCCCTTCCAACACTACATGACGATCATGACCACTCTGTCAAGAGTGACACGATTGAGAAGAAGAAGTAATTATTATAGCTTCAGACGTATGTATGTTAGTATGTAACGGAATCTTTGAACATGTTTTTGACCACCTTCAAAACGTCGGATTAACTCGAAATTTGGCATACTTCTTAAGGACCGATGACAATTCAATATTTAAAATAAGAATCGTAAAAATTAAATAAAACTAAAAAATGAAAAATAAAGAATAGTTTCAAAAGACTAAAAAAATACGCTTTTATAGAAAATCCAACTAAAAAACGCTTTTTTTTACAATAAAATCATTTTTTCTTACACTATTTTTAATTCAAATTTATTTTCTATTTCTTAGTTGGATTTTCTATAAAAGCGTATTTTTTTAGTCTTTTGAAACTATTATTTTTTAATTAATTATATTTTATTTTATTTTAGAATGTATTCTATAGTGTATTGTCTGATGGGATCATAAGTGATTTAGATTTTGATAGAAATTAATAATTAAAATGTATTTATTTAAGCTGTATGCGCGAAAACGACATACCTATAGGCGACAAGCGTCTCTCGTGACGAATGGTGTCTTTACTTTTCATCGGTGTTTGTTGGAACGCAAGCAGACTCTTGTTTAGTTCACGTAGTACATTGTCCTCTTCCCACTGACCTAACGGGAGACTGCTGTAGTCTTCTGCATCCATCAGACACACCGTTACCTGTCAGAACACGTTGCGTTTTTGTTTCAGAGGTGACAAACAGTACAGTTTTTAATCGATAAATAAAAGTCCTAAACTTTTGTATAAAATAAACAAACAAAAGGAATCCATCCGACGAGGGACACATAAAAGGGAAAACAAAATTGTCATTTTTATGTATACTTCGAGCATTTTCATATTTATCTACCTTTTAAACCTTCTCTGGATTTCTACAAATAATTCAAGACCAAAATTAGCCAAATCGGTCCAGCCGTTCTTGAGTTTTAGCGAAACTAACGAACAGCAATTCATTTATATATATATACAGTCAAAATCTGTTATAACGACATCGAAGGGACTGCTCATATTCAGTCGTAAAAACCGATAGTCGTAACAACCGGTGATGTTAAATGTGTATCGTGCAAGTACAAACAAATCGATAGGGAATTATTGGAAAAATATATTTACATAATACGCGATTTTTCTTCAATATTAATTTGTTTTCTTTTTCTTTGCGACATTTTGAAAGTTTCACGAATAACTCCACAAAGTTTTGGTGCGTCTTGTGTATAGATAAGTAACAAACTAACTGAAGAGATATGAAGAAGCGGGCTTTGACTACCGCATGCACGTGTTTTGTTTCTAAGAATTAGAAAAGACCCTACACTAAACTAAATCCTATTGTTTTCTTTCCTGATTTTAAAACCCATTGAAGACAAATGTGGATACCTATTCAAATTGTTTACAATACAGCTTAGCCGGTCGTTCTAACAGATCTAATTCTCGAAAATATTAGTTAAATGTGGTCGTTTTATGAGGTATGTCGTTAATACCAATGTCGTAGAAAGCAATATTTTTAATAAGGCGGTCATATGGCATTCAGCCGGGACCTTTGTTCTTGGTTATTATAACCGGCATGTTGTATTAAACGATGTCGCAGTAAACGGTTTTGACTGTAGATTGCTCGATTCGAAATCCCAGTTGTTGGGTGTGTCGGTCTTCAAACCAAAAGACACGGCTGTATCTCGCCAATAATAACCAGGATGTTCGTTCTTTGTTCGGCTATCACAAATAGATCATTTGTTTTATCATCAACCATTGCATAATTATAGGTGGTAGATCGTCTTGTGACTTTGCACCACATTGGATATTTCTGCCGTGAAAAAGTAATGCATTTCGGTTTGAAGGATGCGGTAGCCGTGGTACTGTAAAAACTGAGACCTCAGAACTCTTGTCTCAATGTGGGAAGCGGAATTTACGTTGTAGATATCTATGGGATCCGGTAACCAATTATCGCCAGGTGGGCCGTGAGTTCGTCCACCCATCTAAACAATAAATAAAAAACCAATTATCTAAGGTCATTATATCTAGATAATTGGTTAAAGTATAATAGTATTAGTCATAACCAATTATCTATTAGTAAGCATTTTATGTTTGATTTTTAACAATATTGAAGATAGCCTGTAAATAACTCAAGTCACGGTGCTATAATAGAGTTGTAATCTTTAGATAATAAATGTTGCAAATTTACTTTTTTAGGTTCTTCGAGTAGTTCTAGCGTAGCCTTTTGTTTTCTATCGTATATTCTGCTGAACATTCTCGCTCCCTCCACTTTAATAACTTCATTATCTTCGAGAGATTCTACTGATAGCATAGTGGACAATAGCTCTGGCATCATGAACATCGACAGTGATTCCTGCAATAATTTTTAGGGGATTAATTATAAGATTTTAGAAGAGTTTAATTAAATTATTTCCTTAAAAAAATCCTCTGGTTCTTTTTTGTGAAGGTAGGCAGAAAAACTCTTGGCTTTTATATTTGGTATTAAATGGTGCCTGGAGTCTTAGTTAATAATCACAACGCGCATACCGCTACTCGCCTTAAAGGTCTGGCTCTCAAACTGGAACGCACGATTGCTTCATGGCAGAAATAAGCATAGTAATATTCTTTTCCGGCTAACTATAACGATGAAAGAAAACTTATGTGTGAGATAAACTTAAATGCATACAAGTTTTTATTGTGCAATTTAATTTTTACGTTGACTAAGGATTATTAATAGACAAGTATTAAATTTAAAGGTATAGGATGTGATTTATTGTGAAAAGATTCATGAAACGCTTCGTCGTATAGGGAAACGGGGACGGTATGTGACCCTGTGGGAGTAAGCCAATGCGGTTTACCGACCAAATTAAAACTACAGTACTACAGTAGTAGGATGACCTCGAGCAATGAGAGATGTCGAGGCATCCTGAGACGCGTCAAGTCTGCTACCTCCTATGCTACATGACGATCTGTCACCACTCTGTCAAGAGTGAAACGATTCAGAAGAAGAAGTAAGAATGTGATCTAAAAAGCATTGGGCAAACGTGAATGCAAAGAGACCTTTATCGATGACTAGCTTTTGCCCGCCACTCCGTCCACGTGGAATCGTTCACAAATAATGCTTTATTTTAGAACAAATTTGGTTAGCATAAAAAACGTTATAGTGAGCCAACTTTAACATATAGACATATGCTGTCGCGGACTTTTTTTTAGATCTTTTAAAGTGGGAACAATTCTGTCATATATTATTTTAGCGAAACTTTAACCGTTTCTGCAGCGCACGCAGCGAAAGCTCTCAAAAGGTAAAAATAACCCCGATTTTGAATCATTCTTTATTGGTGCTCCGCTTGTATTGGTCTTAGCGTGATAGGTATATAGCCTTCCTCGATATATGAGCTGTTTAACACTGAAAGAGTTTTTCAAATCGGACCAGTAGTTCCTGAGATTAACGCGTCAAACAAACAAACTCTTAAGCTTTCTAATGTTACTAGCGACCCGCCCTCACTTCGCCTCGGAAACTGTAATTGATTATTGATTTCTCCACTTTTTAATGGATGTTATTATATATATAAACCTTCCTCTTCAATCAATCAATCTATTAAAAAAACCGCGTCAAAATCCATTGCGTATTTTTAAATATTTAAGCATACATAGGGATATAGGGACAGAGAAAGCGACTTTGTTTTATACTATGTAGTGGTAAGTATAAATTGAATCACCTGACATTCTCCGTCGATTAGTATGTTGCCCCCGATTCTGCTTGTAGCGAAGCACACTCTAATGGCGTCTTCGTTCTCACATCTTTCTGGTCGTCCCTCGTGCCTAACCAGCAGCTTGCACAGCGGCAACGTGCATTCTAACCAGTCTTCTATGGTCAACCATTGTTTCGATGTCATTACCTGTGAACGATCAGTTCGTAAATATATTTATGGTGCAAGGAAATGTGAGCTCTAACGGGTGACAGCATAGAGTGTAAGTCTCCGTTTTGGTAGCCAAAACAGGAAGTAAATTCTACATTAACTTTTGTACGAAGAAAAAAATATGTTTTTTATGTTTAGTATAAAAAAGTTGTGATTTTGGCTAGTTCAAATGTTGTATGCCTTTATTACGTCATACGTACATATTAGTCTCGCTTCCCTGTCTGTAAGCTATTTAACATCACATTGCAACATATTTATTATAATAGTATTTATACTGAATTAACAAACCAAACATATTTTTCATTGAGCTAGGGTAGTTGATTGTTCCGGAAGACGAAACGGTCTCTTGGCTCCTTAATATAAATTTATTTCAGAAGAACTTCACTCACAAATGCAGGGTGTAATATCGATAAACGGAAAAAGAAATCTAGATTTAGATAGTAGCCGTTTTAATAAGTTAATGTTTCGTGAAACTGCAATGCAATGAAAACAACTTTGACCTCGGGCGTCAGTTGATTTTCAATAGTGTTACATTGCGTGCAGTCCTAAAATCTATTATAATTTTTTTTATTGCTCTTGTAGGCAGACGAGCATACGGCCAACCTGATGGTGAGTGGTTACCGTCGCCCATGGACTTCAGCAATGCCAGTGGCAGAGCCAAGCCGCTGCTTACCGTCATTCATCAATATGCTACTACTGATCGGCTATGTACTGTTCCTGAAGTGTAATGTTTAAGGACTGATCTTTTCGTTTCGAGATAGTAAATTAAATACGTGACGCTCTTCCTGTCCATTATTTTCTCAAATTTAATTTCAGAACACAAATGAGTGCACCAAATTGCAGATGTTGCATTATATGTATTTAATTGGAGATGTACTAGGTAGCCACATTAAATGTCGGGTGATTATTATTTTTAATGCGTAACAATAGTAAATACATTACAACCTCTACATACCTGCCGACTAATTTTTATGGACCCTTCATTATTGTGTTTGTCCAACCACTCGAAGTAATGTAATAAACTTTTTAACTTGTTCCGTTGCGATTTTCTAAAAACAGATATTGTCAACTATTCATAAAGTGTTATTTATTACATATAAAACAAATATATATATAAACTATGAATTGCGATTCAATAATTAGATTAAAATTTTGAAATATCCGAAATCAGTTCATTGTTCTTCTAATAAAACTTTAAAATTTTTGTAGTGGTTAAAGATGCGCAAAGGATTTTGGGCAATATTAACACATATTAAAAAGTCTTACCTGTGTAAATTCTTAAAAAAATGTGTAAAATTAAAGTCTTGTAATGTGGGATGAGTCTTGAGCGTTCTCTTCGGAAACGTGGAGAATAAGGCATGAGCGATTAGCGACGATACAAAGTTATAATCTAGTTCTGTAACGTCACCTGGAGAAAAATCAACACCTCTAGTTTAAATTTATTTAATTAAGACGTATACTAGTTTGTAAGTTATTATAATACGAAAACATACTCTTAAGATACTATGTAAAAACAAAGTTTCAATTTATTATCGAACAAACAATCTTAATTCATAATTAAACTCCAATTGATCGTCTGATTACCATGGCTCAAGGACATCGCGCAAGGCCAGGCGCACAGCGAAGCCGCATGAATGTTTTATTAATTTAATTTAAAAAAAGTACATATTTTTGATCATCATTTATGGTCACGGTTTTTATGTAATCATGTGTACAATCATTAGCACTAGTATTTCAGGAATAGATTTCTTCAATATTTGATGCAGATATTTGCATGTACAGTACCGGAGGCAGTGATCCTTATTTTTCTGCTAGAAAAGGGTAATCCTTCAAAGGATTTTTTTTTTGTATAACATAGTATATTTAGCAGTTACATCCATCGTAATGACGCGTGACGCTAAAATAATTAATTAGGTAAACTTAGAAAAATAAAGCTCTAACTAAAACGCTTGAATGATTTGTATCTAAACTAAGGCCATATTATTAGTTTATAGTTCTATACTTACTTTGTTGTTGTAAGCTAAACATCAGTCCCTTTGGCGGGCGCCATCTTTTAAGGTGCAGTGCCCTATTCACCATAATCCTAACAGTATTGTCTAAGAAATGCGACCGTTCTTCTTCGTTCATCTCCTCTTCGAGGAATTGCTCTAAGCCTTTCATTAGATCTGGATCCTTGATATCATCGTCCGGATCTATCCCGATACTGTAATAAATTGATGTTTGAAATTAACTGTCTATAGATCGAATTGCTATTTTTTGCCATTAGGCAGATCGCCATATTTGATGCTCTTAGAGCTCATGCACCACAATGTGTAGGCTGACGACATCCACCTATATAATTAGCCCGAAGTCTTAAGTAAACTTCTTCTTCACTTGGGTTCCAATTCTGAGGGCAGCAAGCATGTCACGGCGATATTTCAGAATTAAAAGGATTATCATTATAATTGAATAGGTCTATGAATTGAATGCATCTATAAATTTTCATGTTTGTTTTGTTGACCATTGAGGAGTTCATTAGTTTCTAACTCACGTCGTGACAGATCGTAATACTAGTAAAATATTTACACGGAATTTCGTGTCTGTGCTATTAAACAACTGTTCCTCTAATACTGGATGTCGGTTTAATTCATGCCTGTCATACAAATGTACTGCCAAACTGAACCAGCATTTAAAAATTACACACAAGGTTAAGAAGACGTAGTCCTCATTTAGCTTGCCAGATTTGAATTAAACAAACTTACAATACTCATACATAAAAATATTTCAAGCATTATAAACGTTTATGAAACGCTCCACGCGCCCATGCTCTACAGTCTTATAGTATATTGTTTACAGAATATTGATTTTTTTAAATTATGTATTGATTGATTAAACATGAAATCAAAAATAATAGGGGTTAAAGTATGAAATGGCCGTGTTATTGTAATAGGTACTTCGAATTGACATAGAACCTTCATGGTTTGAGATTTTCGAATGAATTTTTTTTTCAAAAGTTCCCTTTGATGTTCTTCTTTTAAAAAATGTGCAACATTCGATTATCGACTTTCAGCTGTTTTTTTTTATTTAGCTTAGATAATAAAAATGGATTCTTCGAAAATTCGAGTGACTTTTGAATACGAGTTCCGACGGGGAACTAACGCTGCAGAAAATATCAATGTTGCGTTTGGAAAAGGCACTGCTAATGAACGCACCGTGCCATTTTGGTTTAAACGCTTTCGTGATGGAAATTTTGATTTGAAGAACGAACCACGTGGAAGACCGCCCACATATGTGAATAACAATGAATTGAAAGAGATGGTGGAAGCCAATCGGAGCCAAACTACCCAGGAATTAGCGGCATGGTTTAACGTTACCTTACCAACGATATTGACTCATATGCGTCAAAACACTAAAATAAAAAAATATGAAAAATGGGTGCATCATGATTTGACTGATCTGCAGAAAGAAACGCGTGTTGACTTGTTGAATCGATACAGAAATGAAGGAATATTGGATCGAATTGTGATATGTGATGAAAAGTGGATTCTTTACGATAACCTGACCCCAGGTCAAACGACGCAACAGGCTACTAATACAAAAGGTAATGGTAACTGTTCGGTGGTCTCAGCATGGTGTCATTCATTATGCATGAAATTATGATGGAACTATGGAGTTCTTTCGTCCTTTTTTATTTCTCTATCTTATTCTTATAACTTTCAGCGCCTTTTTTAAATTTACCCGGTTGCTACTGTAATGCCACCCTTATTTAGCAGATTTTAACGGACACTTTTTACACACAGAGACGGTTCTCCTTACCTCTACCCTCCATAGATGGAACTAATCAATACGTAGATGTATGTATAGAATCCTTCAAGTGATGGGAAATGTCAGTTGTCATAATTGTTAGTAATTCCTATCGTCTAATAAATTCAGGAATGTTAAAAAAATTAAGAAATATAGCAACTTACTTGCACATGTCGTGTATTTTCAACATGCTTGCTGTTAGCTTAGTTGGCGAAGAAGCTACCAGAAGATGTTTGAGATGTCGTTGAACAGACGTCCACCAGGGTAGGTCGCAAGGCAGCATTACAAGCGCCATTCTAGATAATTTGATTAGTTTCATGATTTAAAAATCCCATGCTAAAAGTTCGACGTGTACAAGTTAACAAGATATAAATTGTCATTTGTTAAGTTCGTGCTTCTTTGTCTTAGGTAATAATTCAATAGAATAATAACTTGATCTTGTTATCGAATAAAATGAACATAAAGTTTGCTATTCTATTCTATTCTATCAGCCCACCGACATCCACTGCTGGAGATAGGCTTCCCCTCAGAGCTCTATAGCCTCTAATTAAAACGGCGTAGATCGGATTTAAGAGACTGAGATCTATCTGTTGAGATTGGTGGTTGAGGTTCACGATATCTACACGAATCTTCTGAAGACTGCATAATATTCTCGTGACGTTCTTCCATGAGATTTAGAGCAGGGTCTGAGAGTTTTTTTGGTCCTGTTTGTACGACAGGTTCTAAAAAACTTGGAACGGATGGTATGGACAGCATTCACAAACCCGTCATTGTAATCGTCCACGGAGCTTCCTAGGTAATCGAAACGGTTTTAAAGTTCGAGCTCAAAATTTGAAAGCTTATTACTACTACAAAAACTTAAAAAAGAACTTGTAAAAAACAAGAAAAAAGTCTAATACAACTTCTGTGCTGCTGAGGATCGAGCTTGTTTGTAGAGTAACTTCAACAGAAAGGTATTTGTGGAGGATTCACAACATTGAGGAGAACAAAACAAGTTGGAGACAGAAAAGTTTTATTAAGAAGAAACACTTCTCTAACTATTTGTCTACGAGTCTGGTTTTAATTTTAACCACTGTCAGTCCTTAACCACCGCCGCCGCCTTCCCTTTTAGGATTAATGTCCCGCATGAAGGTTGCACCCTTGGGTTAATAGTGCAGAATAAAATTACGCAAAGATCAGCTTGGTAGATCGTGTGTAAACGACTCAAAAACGCTGGATGAGCAAGTGGGGATTTAAAAAATTCGTTGAAGTTTCATTAAATATTAATTATTTGATTGATTAGTTCAGTTTATTTATTTTATTTTCATTAAGTTCATTCAATATTGAAAAAGTTATTTTTACAAAAGTCTTGTGGATTATCTATGGCTGTATGGGCGTATTACATTTGCCTGTGTAATGGACGCAAAAATCATTTTCGATTGGTTTGAGCGTTTATACTTAATGTTTCTTCTTTCAGGAAGAAATTATAAAGGACTTGGCTTCGGCCTTAATGAAATTTTTATTTCAGGATATAATATAGATCATATAAGACCTGGTTTCGGCTTTTTGATAATTTATTTCAGAAATTAAATAGAAAAGACAAGGCGGTATGGGCTTAGATCCCTTTGCCTTTCCTAATAAGGAAAAATTGTACCAAAAAAAAACTTATTGTTTCTTTTTATTTACGTATATAAGTACTTTAGGCTTAGATCGTTCGTAAAATATCGGAAATTCATACCACTGGATATTAATGTTATTCTGTCTTACTAAATTTGGCATAAAGTTATTAAGATATCAACTATCTTGAGATTACTCCTAATTTCGTATGATAATGTCATTCTATATCGTATCTTACAATGAATATTTTCAAGTGTTTCATACAGATAACTCGAACATGATGTTTAAATATTGTATAAATCAATACGAACGGTGACATCAATAAACAAGGTCGTATTTTAATCGGCGCGCTATTGCATGACAAAAAGTCTTCGCGCAGTGAGTCGAGCGATACTCTGTTCAGAGTGCAAAGTACACATTTAAAATGTCTGTGAAATCTAAGCTACTGAAAGCATTGATTTTAGGCGCTCCAGCATCCGGAAAAGGAACTATATCGTCTCGTATAGTGAAAAAATACAATATTGAGCATGTGTCTAGTGGAGATAAGCTCAGGGACCACATAGCAAAACAAACAGAACTGGGCAAAGAGGTTAAAGCATACCTTGACGAAGGAAAACTTGTACCTGATGATTTAATGATTAAATTCATGATAAAGGAATTGAAGGAAGTCAACAACAAACCATGGTTCTTAGATGGATTTCCGAGAACAGTAGAACAAGCTAATGCTCTATGGAAAGTTCAGCCTGTGGATGTGGTACTTAATCTTGTAGTGCCATTTGATGTGATTATAGATCGGGTGAAAAGTAGATGGGTGCATTTACCTTCAGGACGGGTGTACAACATTGGGTTCAACACACCTAAACAAGAAGGTAAGGATGATGTGACAGGAGAACCTCTAGTACAGCGACCTGATGATAAACCTGAAGCCGTAAAGAAGAGGCTAGAAATATACGAAAATATAACCAGACCTGTTATTGAGTTTTACAAGCAAAAGGGTATCCTAAAAGAATTTGAAGGGCGCACATCAGATGAAATATGGCCAAAAGTCACAAAATATTTAGATCCAATTTTTAAATAAATAGTCTTATTAGCTTATAAGTTATCAAAGTGGTGCTAAATTTTTATAAATGTTTTACAATTATACTAGTTCAATATGCACATATTATACAATTTTAAATATTTTAATACATATTGTGGATGTCTTTTTCCATTATACTTTTGTTCATAAAGTAACAATTTCTGAAATTTGTGATATTTATTTCAATGAAATCTAGTGCACAAAACACCCAAACTCAACAGATTTTTTTTGAATATTTTTGAATATTGAAAACAAACACGAGTTTATACCAAGCCAAAGAAGAATAAGATGGAACCAAATATATTGATTTATATTGTTGATTTAAATCTAAGTAATATAAAAGTATAGCTTCAAGTAGTATAGTTGACAGTCTTCTGTTGTAGAATTTATAATTGATGTACTTATAGTGGAAATTAGGATTTAGTCACGGTTCTTAGTCAAAGCAGTAATGCTTGAAAATAACTTCGTAGTAATCATATATTAAGACTGCTGGTCTGGCAAGTCCCTCTATCTCTCTCTCTAATTGCATTAGAGAAAGATAGAGGGACTATGTTAAAAGATAGTGAATAATTCATGATGCTTAAGGTAGTTTATGGAGTTTGATTATCATGTGCATGCATATCTCATATTCATCTAAAGTCATAATAGTTCTTTCTTACATTCTTTATTCCATTTTACAATATTTGATGTTTTTAAAAATTCTTTTCAAGCCACGTCTGTCTGAAATTGTAAATTACGAAAAAACAAAACAGAAGTTATACAGTGCTTAATGAGGTCCAATTAATTTTTACATTTGAGTCGTCTATTATCAAAGGTGGCAATCTGTGCATTTGGACAAAAAAATGTTATTGATATGGCAATACAGATTGATTTCAATATCAATCTTCTCCTTCAAAGAATACGGTTCAAAACCTGCATTAAATAAAGTATTAACTTAACCTGTTATTTATCTAAGATGTCGTTCAGAAGAGTTTTGTGACTGCCAATGGAATACAAAGTCAATAATTCGTTTTTCTGATTTACCAATAATTGTCTAAAGTCACATTGCCGGCTTTGATAATAGTCGACTCATTTGTTTTTTTGTATTGATATGAAATATTGTCATGAAATTTCTTTAATAGGCTAATTAATGTTTATTGAACATCTTGTCTACTGCCTACTTGTAATGTAAAATGCAGGGACTTACTCTGAGTTCTGTATAGATTTTTTAAAAGAATCTGATAATGCACAACTTGTTTTTTTATTTACAATTCAGTCAATAAATTCACCAAAAGCTCTGCATTACTCTGATTATTGAAAATGAACAAACAATGTACTTACTTAGTTACCAATGTTACTTAAATAAATAATTATTTTGATTAAATATAAGTTCATGGTTTTCTGGTTGGTAAAGAGGATTGTTTTTTAAATTAAAATTATTTTTCCTTTATAATCATGGTTTACTTATATCCATTTTTTCAATAAGCCCTTATTACCAATCTTCGATCAATAATACTACTAGATTCGCGATTAGCGCTTCAAAAGCGGCCCGAAAAATAAGACCACAAATAAATTTGTGGTCTTATTTCAAATTAGTATGGTCCAATCATAGCCAACACTAAGACGTCAAAACGCTGCAATGCGCGTTCAAAAACTGAGTAAAAAACCACCGTAACACCAAGGTTTTGGAAGGAATATCTTTTTTTGGTAAATTTATATTATTAAGTGTTTTTCATAAAATAATAAACACAATTATATTGTAAATAAAACACAATTTACGAATATTGTAATTGTTTGGCCAATGTTTGCAACAAGGCACCAACTATTGTAACAAACATCACCTATTCTTGGACAGGGAATGCATAGAGTAGTTTTGTTATTTTATAATGTTATTTTTGTTTGTAGATTTCCTAGTAGCCCCTTGTCGCTGTGCACAATGGATATATATTGTCGCGAAAGAAAGAGGAGAAGAAATATAGAACCCTTATAAAAATTCTAGAATTGTTCAATGGTGGTGGCAAATCAATGCAAAAAAGTATTAAAAAAACTTTATATGTATGTGTAAATATTTTAAGCGTATATGCTGAAAAGGATTTGTTTTCTGGGGGAAACGAACACAGCCATAAAATAAGCCTAAATTAAACTGATTATAGAAAAATTCATTGATATAAGATTACATTATATTTGTAAAAAAGAAACCGCTCATATAAAAATGACTTCTAAAAGACAGCTTTATAACAAACTGAATCTGTTTAAAGGTAATTAAACCTACATTATTGTTTTAATTACTTCTGTATAAAGAATACGTGGAAAACATGTTTCGTGTTTCCTTTCATATTTTTTTTACTTTATTCAATTTTATTTTTTATCACCTATTTGTTGTAATAGCGGCAATGTAAAATATTATCTACTACTTTTTTGAATCGGTCAAAAATAGTTGCGACCATACAAAACAAACCTAAAACAAATATGTATATTCTGCAACTCTATGTCTTTCAATACTTACTGTGTTCTGAGCATTGAAATGTAATACCAAGAACTACATCTAATCCCACAATACAATAAGCACGAAATTTTAAACAAATATTTTTAACCTTATAAATTAGTCTTTAAGTATCATTTTAGAATAAATATTTTTGTACTGATGACTTTTTATGTTCAAGTGACATTTTAAATTTATTCCATAATATTCTTTTTCTGACGAAAGGACCTAAATACATATATTTTGCAATGGTAATTAAACTTTATGTTTAAGTATTAAGGTTTATAATAAACTGAAGTCGTTAACATTATTAAACTTTTTTCTAAGAAATGAAGATGTTTTCGTGTCTGCAAACGTGGCCACTGGAGCGTCTTATTTTTGTTCCTGATCCGTAATCTAGTACTATTATTGATCGAAGTTACCAATACATAAAATGAAACATACAGGTTTGTCTGTACCGTGAGAAAAGTAATAAAAGTACAAAATGATATTTAAGAAGAGTAATAAAATTTATACCAATTTCAGAATTATGTTCTCTCTGCTGTTTGTTAGCGCACTTCTTCGAAATTACGGAGCGGATTTTCATGTGGTTTTCATCAATAGACTGGTACTAATTTGATTCAGAATGTAATATGGGGTTTGTTTCACTAAAATTTACTTTTATATTGTGAAGTATTAAAAATTACGTAAAAAAATAATATTATGTACAAAAGTAACTGTTTTACGTTTCACGCTCAAACCAATAACCGATTTTGATGAAACTCGGTTTCTAAATAGTTTGAACTCTGGGGTAATTAGTCTATGTTTCATAACATTTCTGGATATGGGACTCCGCTCCCGGCTCCACCCGATACATATTATTTGACGCAGGCGAACGGTAGCGTAACGGTTAAGCAAGTAGATATTTAAATAAATATTAAAAACGTTTAGATTTATAGGTCAATTTGATGACTACGCAAGATATAGGTAGGGGCAAAATAAAGCATCTTCGACCTCAACTAAGATACCTTTTGAATGATATTATTCTTTGTAACATGTTAGTCATTTGGATTTTACGTTATTGTAAATATCTTAACAAATCTCATAATGGCTTAATTAATTTTGTCCACCGGCTGGTTGGGTCCGCTATTGCTAGTATGACCTTGTATATACCGAATTGTACGTGATTCTAGCTGGTACCTGTCGTCTAAGTGAAGGTAAATAACGGGAAAGAAGGTGTAGGTGAGCTCACTGGCTTAACTGAAGAGAGTTTGCTAGGACTAGCCCTAGCAGAAGCAGTGCTTCGTTGACTCTACCACCGGATCGGTATCGCGACCCACTGAGAAAATCCGGCGAAAAACTCAGTTAGTTGTGAAGTAGTGTCTATGGGTTAGTTCGTGGAACTCTTTGTTGTAATCGAAGAATTCGACGAAGACGGTGACCGGTGCGCTGCTTAAAGAAACGGTCTTATCAAAATGGACGTTTCACTTCTTCAGGGACGAATTGCTTAAAGTACAAAAAACATGAATTTAGTTTATTCAAAAAAATATGTCCACGTTGTGGCCACATGTGGCCATTTAGCGTAGACTTAATTAAATAAATAATAATAATGTAAAAAAAAACGTACACTTATGTGCCAATGTCCCTGAACAGGTTAACCTGGGTGGCAAGGGCTACTTCCATCAACTGTTGATAATTCAATAAACAACAATTGGAGGAAAGTATTGAAATTATTTTAAAACTTAAAATGCAGTTATATTTTTCGTCCCTCGAATTGTTCAACTAAAGTAAGATTTTACAAAGTAGAATTCAGGCGTCACTGGATTGAATAGTTGGTCGTATGATTAAGCGTCCAAAGCGCGCGCGTTTTAGTGACAGGTAGGAAGGACTAACTGGCACGTGGTGTTGCACGTGCAATTTATGTTTCGAGCTTTGATCATCCAGCTTAAGCACAATTCAGCAGCACAGCAAGAAACAGCAACTAAGTTTCATAATTGCAACAGGAGCAATTAATTACTGAAAATGTTAATAGGGCTATCTCTTGACGTTGGTGTTTAAAAGATAACTGTTATAAAAATATCTTTTGTAGTGTAAGAATAGGATACTATACTTTATATGTCCAAAACCGTCATTTTTTTCTGCTCATGGTATCTTACAATATATATTTGAGAAAAACTCAAAGCACATTGCACGCATCACGTTCACTAGAACATATGACTCTTTATGATCACATTATTTTTTTTACGTTTCAAAGGATTGCGCACTTGTCTCGATGCAAGCTTATGTATTTAGAAACTTTTATTGGAAGAGACGATTCGGGCGGAAAGGCCTTAACTAGGTACTAAGTAGTCAGGTACTTAGAATCCTTAACTAGGTACTTAGTAGTCAGCGTTTTGATGAAATACCTCAGACTGATACCAACGTGAACAGTGCTATTAAAGCTGTATTCAACTAGATTATATTTGAAGCCTGTTATTCGCAGTAGAAAATTAAAAAAAGAACATGTAGGTATTTGCTTGAAAATATGCTTGAGTATGCAAAAAGTAGGTACATATACTTTGTTTTATTTTTTTGCGCATTTTACAGAAATATCAAATCTAGATTATAACAAATTGTTAAGTTGTTATGTGTAAAAAAGCCTTACCCAACGGTGAACGAAATGAGTTAGGTACCTATTCCTTTTTTTATTAGAGATATCTAGTAGTTACTCTAAGAATCCTGGTATTTTTGGTAACCTTAACAAGAGTTATCAACTCATTACCAATTAATGCCTCGCTGCGCTCGTCGTCACATCATTATAGATAAGTACCTCTGAATTGCCAATGATATTGTTTGTTTACGTTCGGTTATCGCCAAAATTATGTAAATACTATTATCTAGAATAATGCTTTGTAGAGATTTGAGAATTAAATTGAATTCTCTATATGTTCCTTGTTTATTAAAACGAGATTTATATTACCGCTTTACGTTATAGAAATAGCAATTATATGATAAAAATATACTTTTCTGTCCCAGTAGATTTCCCTGAATGTTCTCCATTGACAGATTCTCGGCAGCCAGATCAACGAAAACTTCTTGAAATAATACAATAACTTCTCGAACATTTTAGTGTCGTCTTAGACTTTCATCAAAATTATAGTTATGAACGCGCATTATTTAATTATACGTTACCTTATGTAGATATGATGCTTCCTGGTTTCAGGCACAAAATTTACAAGCACTAAACACCATAAGTCACTGTCGCGTCGCGACTACAGACTTTTTCTTACGCACTTTTTTCATTGTCTACTCATTCGGATTCTAGTGATGTTCCTTTTCATGTAAAATATCTTATTGCTTTCCTATAAGACAGAAATAGTGTAGGGAGTAAGAAAGCGGGCCGGCCGCAGCGAACAAGACTCGAGCACGCAAACCCCAGTTATTTTTAGCGGCCTTCGTGCATCGTCGCTGAAATTAGAATGTAAATAAAAAGTTTAGTCCAACACGTTGCGTAGGCCTCAAAATTTGTTCCTTAAAGGTTGTAAGGATTCAATCACGTTTTAAACCGATTAGAATTTGATTGTGCCGGGAACCAAATCCGGATATAGACATAGTCATAGGACGCGTTTCACGGTCGTTCGACCTAGGTTACGTCGGCTTATTTATAGGATCGTGGACCTGATTTGATTAGCTTTATAAAAAACCCGTACATATTTTGCTACATAGTTTCTGACTGACCAGGTAAAATGAAATATTTTACGAATTTAAAAGCTGAGTAATAAAATCTCGGCATGATTTGAACAGAACGTACATACAGAACAAATTATAAGAATTGAAGTAGGTACCTTCAAGTGAGTTGTCTTGATATTCAAAACAATGTAGTACGAAAGTGGATATTAATGCACAAAACTTTGGAAATCTCGTTACACTCAATCAAGACTTTATATATATGCAATTAAACTTAATTTATTTACAAAAAAACCTTTTTCTAAGTTATTTAGACGTCCTGTAGGTATAATGTGATCGGCGATAACTTAATAGGGAGAGCTAACGCGTCGACTCGCGTCGACTGGTAAGGTTGTACTGACGCCGTCGAGCCGACTTTCACTGGGGGGTGAGTACCCTTGTGCTGGCGGCTGTCGCACCTTCCACCCTCGCGGTGACGTCACTCGACGCGTCATGACCCGCGACGCCGTACGCTCGCTACCCATTCCCCGCACTCCGCTCCCTAAAAACGGCCTTTGTTAAATGTCGCCCGAGTCGACTCCCGAAACGTTACGTAAAGTGAAATATGAAAGCACGAACTTGCGTCAGAGATATAAAACATTTTCGTGCGGTTAAGGTCTTACTAGCATTGAAGATCACAGTTCAGATCACAATAATGGTAAATAACGGCCTAGATCGGCATGCGAAGGCAACCGAATCGTATTTCAGATCTATAGACCTAGGTTTTTTTTATCATCATCGATTAGTAATAATCGGCACTGGTTACCACCGCCCATGGATGCTTTAGGTAAGTCGTTGCCTACCGAGAAGAACTCCTTATGTAGAAGAATGGCGATTACAAAATTTCATAACTATCAGGAAACAGCACCAATCATTTCGAAACACTGCGTTTATCAACAGTAGGTTTTAAGGCATTATTGCAGTCCACCATACGAATCTAGATTGATATCGCCACGGTGTTGTACGAGTATTATGACGCTTTTCTTCGTACGAGGCTTAAAAGAAACCAACAGTGTCTCGGCTTGTAGCCGGAGGGTTAGTTGATAATGAGCGACGGTAACTAATTACCTGGTGGTGGGCCGTTGGTTCGTCTACCTTCGATAGCAATAAAAAAACCATAAAATCGAATACCCGCCTATTGATAAGCGAATTATTACTAAATAATTACTAGGGCAGATCAAAAAATATTATCGATATTTGGCATTAAAGTTACCCGTTATCTGTTAACCGTTAATTAGAAACAGTATTCAATAAAACGAAAGCTTAAAAATATATGAAATACATAGAACACCTTCTGCTGTTTACAATGTCAGAATAAAAATTTATATTAGAGATACAAAAAAACAAAATTTAACAACAATATTTTTTCCCCGTGACAACCGACTTTAATTTTTTGTTCGTTTAATTACTGAGGAGTTTCAATGATATTAAATAAAAGTTTAATCAGATTGTTCCCTAGAGAAAATATAATCGATAAAGTAACATGAATCTTGATAAATCTATGATTATGGTCGATTTTCCACTGAAAGGCTGGCCACTGACAATCCACTGATGATAAGTGGATCAATAGAAAGTGGAGTTAATCGAAAATTAGGACACTACAAGCTTCGTTACGAAAATGGGAAAATAAAAATAATTTATATGAACCAAATATACCTACAACCTTTTTTTTTTAATGCCCTTGCAGGCAGACGTGCATACGGCCCACCTGATGGTGAGTGGTTACTGTCGCCCATGGACTTCAGCAATGCCAGGGGCAGAGCCAAGCTGCTGCCTACCGAAGAAGTATATTGTCACGCAACTGTTGTTGTTGTTGTGGAACTCCATAAATTGAATCACAAAAAATTTAAGAATACTGACAAATCATGCCATTAAATGTATTACGAGACCCATTTTTTATGTTGTTTTATTTTTATGTTTCAGTTCATTTCATGTAAAAAGTATATGAATTAGAACTATCAAGTAACTAACGCAACGTATGTGTCGTCCTGTAGGTACTGGCTAGTGGCTTGTTATGAATTTCTCCTGATTGTGCGCATGCGTGGGATGCTCTTTGATAGCTTTCTCTTTCTAGTCTGTGACGTATGTAGGTTTCAGAACTTAGTTTCAAAATACCTCTTCGTGAGTCATGTTTTTCTAGTAGGCAGGGCGGTCGTGGAAAATTGTTGCCGCCCTAACAAGCAGCTATGGGAAGTCTAGGGCGGACCGCTTTTCTTTTAGTAGAAAAGTATTTGAATAGTGTTTCAGTTAATCCCAAATCCAAAAATAAAATTAGTAGTCGGTTCTAGACATAAAATATCAAATATTTTATTGAATCCTTGCTCTATAAGGAGCTAGCCTTTATGAAGCCCTAGTAAATAGCCCACGTGATGCGCGTAAGGTCTATTTTCGTACAAACAAAGACGCTATTATTAAGTCTTTACAAAATTTACCTCTTGAATTCTTAATTTGGACTGAAAACAAATCGCGACAAAAGCGGCCTTAAAAACGTGCTGAATTAAGCTGAATGAAACTACAAAGAATCAAAAGTAATTTTGAAAATATTATCCAGACTAACAGTGTCTTGTGTAAACATGTGATCTTTATATAATAATTCTAGAAACTTAATACAAAATGAAATAAGTAACTACCAAAATTATAGTACAATTACATAAAGAATGTCAAATAGGTACACATAAATGTTTGCACTGTCCTTTTAATCCATACCGAAATGCGTTTTCGATTTTTTTCACATCTCGGAACACTTCTACTAAAAAAAACCGTACGAAATTCCGATCAAATACTAAAGTATGTAAAACTAAACTATATATGTAACTCTTTAGTTAAAATATAGATAGATATCTTTACTAAATATTAATACAATAGTAGCTAGATAGAGATTGTACGGAACTAATAGTAAAAGCCCCAAAATTATCACCGCCTATTTCATGACCAAATAAGAAAGTTTCTAAAACAAACTACTAAAGGAGAAAAAACTTGCAAATTATAAACTACGTGACCAAAAACGCACAAAAATGATAAAAATACTCAAAAAGTTGCGTATCTAAACTAAATAAACAGAATTGTTATTTAGAAGTGTCTATGTACTCGTAAGACTTCATTCCCAAAGGACAAGACGAACTGTATCGACCGCATAGTCAGGGTTGAAATCCTGAAGACAAGTACAGTTTATGAAGTTATTTATATATGTTCAGCTTTGACTTCTAAGATGAAGAAATAGCAACGTGTAATAAATCAAATCGAACTTTCAAAAACTATATTACGCGTATATAATTACCGGTGATATTGTAGGTCCGCACGGGCACCCCCATCTCACACATTTCCGCCGTGAAACTGTAAGATATGTCGGTTTAAAGGCTGGAATGTTTTCTTATAAAATTGAGACTTCGATTTCATCGATAAAGGTGCTTATGGTGCATTCACATTATAATGTCTATGAGCTCCGGTAAACACTTAACACCAACTGGTACGTGTGCACGTTCACCGATCTCAGCAACAAATAAAACGTAATTTGAAAGTTCATTTCCTATCTTCATGATTAACTTAAATACGAGAATTAAAATAACAAGAACCTTTCCAATAAAATTGATAGCATGTGGGGTTTCGCGAGAGCTCCGTTTATTGTGAGATAAAACAGACTTCTTACAAGGTATGTTAACCTGGTGGAATCGACCTCTGGCGCGGACACAGTACTTGCTTGCGATAGCCGACTCTTACGGGTGAAGGTCACGTGAATCTGCGTATTTTCATCGATATGTTTGTCTGATCAAGGACCCTGCAGTGTTGGCACAATAACGAATCATATAATTGAATGATGATTTAAAAATGTATTTATAATTGGTTTATTTAGTATATTTAAATATATAAAAAAATTAAAATGACACTTTAAAAACGTTTTCCAATGATAACACATGATTTTATTTTTTATTAAATTTTGCTATTTCAACAATCATAGGATAACTGACCACAGACTACTAAGAGGTTGACTGTCGAGTCATAAACGTCATCCAACAGATCTTTCTTATTAAATTGTGTATTTATTAAACAAATATTCCATATAGCGTATATTTTAGGTAAAATTTTGGGCAGAGTTAAATCACGACCCCGTATTCTAAAACTGCACCGTCGTTTCGTGACCCTTGGTACCAGGACTTAATAAAGCAGTGGATGTTATTAAGAGAAATGGATATTTTGGTTGAATAGAGCGAGCGCAAAATTTTTATGTACCTATTTCGGTATTTTGAATGTGACAATTTTATTATTCCATTTGAAAAAACCTTAATTTAAAAAAAAAGTTGTAATATTTTTTTTTTATCAGAGTCCTATTAAGCTTCAAATTAGTTACAGTGAGTGTTTGAGACACTATAACTACTAATGTTGACATATTTTGATCAAGAAAATTACAGTTCCAAAAAATAATAATATTTGGTGTCTTAGCAAACAGCTAAGATAGGCGCTTAACCCGAGTGTGTCTGTAAAAAAAGAATACTTTCAGTAGCGTTGAGGAGTATTTCAATTAAAGACAGTATTGGTAAGATTGACATATTTTCTGCGCTACAATTTTGTTTTGCATATGGATGGACAAAGTTTACATATTTTGATCAAGAAAATTACAGTTCCAATAAATAATAATTTTTGGCGTCTTAGCAAACTGTAAGATAGGCAGGCGCCTAGCCCGAGTTTGTCTGTAAAAAAATAATACTTTCAGTAGTGTTGAGGAGTATTTCAATTAAAGGCAGTATTGCTAAGGTTCACATATTAATACAATTTTGTTTTGCATATGGATGAACAAAGGAATTTGCTAGTCAATAAGAAAGTATTACCCTGTGTATCAAGGGTCTAAAACTTGTCTCCAAACTTCGTTAAATCAGTTTTCGTGACTGCAAGCAATTAAATTAAGCTACTCGATGACGTATGCCAAAAAGGCGGGCAGACATGTGTGAATTTATTGCGCCCAATTTTACTATTCTTCTCACAGTTTATTTATTTACTCTACCTCTAAAACTCCTTATAAATTCGTTCTTATGTGAGAAATCTTAAATTCTATCTTCTAAGCACGTTCATGACGATAAACCGATCATTACGGTCACCGTTACGTCCCTGTCTCAGGAGTCTCGAACTCTGTTCCATATACCGACATCTCTTGACTGCTTACCGGATATTTTTACACTCGTAATGCTTAAGGCACATGTTTCTAGATTTGGCCAGTATCAATTAAGGCAACAGCCTTAGTTACTAGTGCGGCGTTTAGATTCTAGATCTGGTATTGCCAATTCATTTTCATTAACAATTTGCTATGAGACTACCGGTGAAAAGCTGGGAAAAAATAATGAAACCAACCAAATTTCTTGAAAAAATCTAGAATAACTTGGTGATTTTGTCGTTATTTCCTGTTTCCAACGATCAAAAATCAGTCTTCTTACGTTCAAATCCTTTTGATTTTATTATTTAATAACTATATTCTGTGTCATAAAAAATCAATATAATATAATATGTATATGGCGTTGCATTCGTTCACAAGACTGGTTCACTTTCTTCGTCACTCCCCAAAATAGTTATGGACCAACTATTTATACCTATTCGCTATCCTGTTGTCCTATTAAGTTAAACTAGCATACACGGGGTGAGCGCTTCCTGATTTTTCTTGACAACTCCTATAGTTTATGACAGCCTGGTACATTCGTAGTACAATGTTACGTCACAGAGGAAAACCGCTGGAAGGTTTCGTAGGCGGTGATGTTACGTATGAAAGCTACGGACGGTCGTATAAGCGTACGACGCTACGTAATGTGCTCTACGAGTTTTCCCTCTACGTCACTACTACTGATTTTTAACATCTCAAATATTGGGTAATGTTTATTACAATAAAATAAAATCAACATTATCGCTTTACATTTAACGTAATCGATTTATTGACGTACCTTTTACAATTACTGAAATATATTTTTTTATCGTGTAAAATTCGATCGTAATTTATTTATTTATTTATTTATTTATTAAGTTGCACCAACAAAGTGATCATCAATACAAAACATTGACAAATTGACAAAAGTTCATGGCAGATGTCACCTCAATTATAGGTGCAATCGACAGTGCATTAACATTAAAAATAAAAAAAATATACAGCTAAGATTTGAATACATTTCATTCATTGCTTATGATTAATTTAATTGGGAGATGATCCGCGACAGATTTTTCCTGTAAGTAGTGAGACAATCAGAAAAAACATCTATTTCACTTAAAATAAGTTCAGCGCAATCGGACAACTCCGAAGGAACATTGACGGAGACCGCGCTACCGTGGACATTATTGTAGTCCCAAAGGATTCTGTTTAAGGGAGAGTAAGCACCTAAATTCGAACGAGCGGGCTTTCTTATAAACGGTTTATATTTCTTCGTTCTTGGTAGGTACTTAGGGGCTGATATTTTTAACTGGGTTAATAGATTAGGCGTGTCGGTTATTCCATGAATTAATTTGTACAGAAATATACCCCCCATTAGTTTTCTCCGGTTTAGAATTTGAATTGTACTTATTGTATTGGAAACTGTTAGTATTTTATAAATATTGTTTTTTAATGGGGAAATCAGAACATAAGCAAGCTATAATCCAGAGTAGAAGAACTATTGAAGCTTTTTATAAAACTTTACGTTAAGTCCGACTACCGCGCCGTCAATGAGATCTTAATATTCATTTCCCAAAGGATTTCGAACAGAAAAATATCTTTATGAAATACGAGTATATTGGAAACATAGTGCTATCGTTATTTGGTCTCGGCCAAGAAATTTCGGAGCTTACGGGAGAACATTATATACGAACATATTCTGTAAGGGCTATGTATAATTTATTCTTGTCATCTCCGGTACTTCTTAGACTTATGCATTTATCTACAGAAAAATAAAAACATTTTAGCTCTTCAATAACATTTTAATTATTTGTTACTTTTACATTTCTGTTGCATTGACGTGTGCACAAGCTTGCGGTTTATTATGGAAGTTGACCTTTCCTTCTTTTCGATTTAAAACTTTATTTCTTCATCGAGTAAGTCGTTTGTGAAAACGTATTACAATTGCAATCCTGACATGGTTTAACTTGGAAAGTGTTTTCTATCAATGCTTAACTTTGTAAATGTATATTCTTTGTCGAAATAAAAAAAATTATACACTTTATAAAGTATACAGTGGCGAACCTAATGCTTAAAACATTCTCTATCAATCGACCAAGGGTTGTGTAGAATGTATTTATTGTGGTTACTGATTACTGTTTGTGATATTGATTATTGTGGTACATTACTTTTTTATAAAAGATAAAAATAAGAGAGACTAATATTAAATGCCTACACAAACTAGTTGCAGTATAAATTCATATTATTCAGTTTAGTTATTTCATAACCATTTTGGCTTTGGGACACCTTCCTTTACGCTGACGTTCGGTCGGTCGCAAACCGTGATAAATATAATCGAATACAAGCTCATCAGCCGCATCTCGGGGGCGATACCATTTAAATTGTCATGATTATAGGTTTCACTAATAGCTTAATAGCAGGAGTGATGCGAACTTCCCACCTACAGCGGAAAACCCACTTTGCTAGTAATGTACCTCTGATATTTTTCAGAGAACGTTTTGCAAGTTTATTTAAAAAAATGAGCCTTGTTTGATTTTAATTTTATATATTTGTATCCGAATTGTAAGATTTTTAAGTTACAATGTTTATTAGCTAATCGTTTCGTTATCAATACATAAATTACTTTTTTCACAGCCGAAACATACCGACACTGTTTAAGAACAGTTGATAAAAATAATCAATAAGTTGATAAAAAAATATATGTGCAATTAATTGTAAGTTTTATTTTCATGAGAACATAACATAGAGTTAGAATATTACTAAATGTTGCTATCGAAGTAGGTTTATTTTCGGATTATTAAGCTCACATCAAAAGTGTTTACTTGTAAACAACACTAGTAACTGAGCCGTGGATCAATAAAATACTGACGCGTTACCCCGACTCGTGTCGTAATCAATAGCCCACGCTGTATGACGTCATTCAATCGTATTGATTTTGTAGTTTTACTTCCTCGCAATTCTGTGCTCCGGATATCTAAGCATGCCAAGAAAAGCTGTTCATGGAAAACTGGACATTTCAAGAAGAATGTGAAGATTAACTTGACACGCAATCAAATTGAAAATAAAAAGAAAATCACGTAATGTTGATGTGCAGTTTTTAAAAATATAATTTAATTTAAATAAACAAAGTATAAAATTTGTTTTAAAACTAATTTTACCGCTACCGATTTTAAAATTACTTTTAAAACTAATTTCATACTCTGTAAGTAAATTTTAAAACTAGGACGAGACTGTCAATGTTTTTTATTAAGGTTATTAAGGAAGTATTTAAGGAAGTTTATTAAGGAAGATTCTAGCATAAGTACTAAATTACCAGAGCGTGGTTCATTTGGAACTCGCTTATTGATGGTCGCATCGCATTCACTCTAGTCGCAGTTGTAACCTGTTCAACATCTCCTTTAGCGCATAGTGTCCTGGTACCTCCGGTTCTAGTTTTCCGAATCGTTTATCCACGTTTATCCGGGTTATCTTTGAGCCGAAAATGACATTTGCTTTTTTCCTATTTTTGTACGGTTTCGGTCTTGCTGAAAGCTATAGTTATGGTTACGGTGACAATGGATATTATTTCGAAAACCATAAATATTGTGATGATTTGTCTCCATATTATGGTGATATAAATTTTGAGCAAATTACTGGTGTTTGGTATGGTGTCGAAAAGATACCACATACAAAAGGAGAATATAAAATAGAGCATACTCAGCAATGTTTTTACATCGACATCAAGGAGTTATACATAGAGGTTTGTTTATTTTTCTTAATGCTTATAGCTTTTTTTTGTTAGTTTTCTTTACGATAAAATTAAATGCATGATATACACGAATGAACACAAGGATGACCGTGAATATACGACCGAAAATGTATTTAATAAATTTAAATTCATTATTTTTCATTACATTAGATGGGTAGACTATCTGATGTTCAGTAGATAATCTGACCTCAAAATAAATATGAATTTTGTCAATACAATGTGAATTTCGTCATTTGCCTAGCGACATGAGGTCGAAGCTTCTAATGTATTGGATAACAGTTTTCCCACTTTTCAAAGTGTTTTATTTGATTTTACATCTATATACTAACGAGCTAGTAGGCTTTTTAATTTATATCCTGAAACAGCCGTTGGCTTCGGGTTGAAAATTTAATAAGCCCTTACTAAAAGCAATTGAGAAATAAAAATTTTTGAAATATGTATGAACTTTTTTGCCTATTTATGCTAGTTACAAAAAATAATAATGGCAATTTCATTTATATTTTCGAACATCTTTGAACGAAATATTAAAGAGTCTTTGTTGATACGTGAGTCATGACTCATCCTTATCAGCAATTTCAAAACAGGAAACCGGGGTTCATGATGTCAATTAACAGGTTAATCGTTTTACACCGGAGAAAACGGTCACTCCACAAGATCTTCCGTTGTGTTGTGATAATAACTAGCTTGAATTTATGCAGTTTCGTATTAATTACCAAGAAGCTAACATTCAAATGACGAACGTTGTAGTTTTTTTAAATATTCTGTCATTGCCATTGACATTCGCTGGGAATTCAGATTTCTGTCAAAATTTAAATCCGACTCATGATTTTGACGAAGAATCTCTGTTAGGGATGTGGTACATACACGAGTATATTTATCACACGGATAATGAAACGAAAACCGAATACAATCCTAATTGTCCAATTTTACATATAAGAAAATTTGAGGACTATGTTATGAGTGGATTGATAAATCGGAACCTAGTGAGTCGTATTGGAGATTTAAAATAATTTAATGTGCTTGCTTTTCAAAGTATACTTTTGAAATGACTAATACTACTAAATACTAAATAAATAAATAGTAATTAAATACTAAAACATGCATTTCTAATTAAACGAAAACCAATTGTAGCAATCGATTCTCTATGTTTTTATTTTGTCAATTAAATTCTTCTTCGTCTAATTCCAGCCCACTCCACCGACGCCGTATCCCAATCTGATAAATACTCCGTACATGAACCGACAGTACAACTTAGGTATGCCTGAGCAATATCGGATTCGACAGTTCGTTTTAGAATGGCACGAAGGGCTGTGGCGCGATGATTATCATATCAAGGTCAATACTTCACACAAAGGTTTCTGGCAAACGGATGTACCCCAAGGCAGTAAGTAGTTTTAAAGATAGTTAGATTGACAATTCAATGGCTAAACAGCATATTCTTAAATTTTGTTAATCGCTTTAAAAAAAAATACTAATATTTGATTTATAAATATGAAATACATACACTAATAATGTACTACGATGAGTCTATCTATGTTACATAATTAAACCTTTTACGGCATAATCTCACTTTTTATCAATCGTCATTATTCATGGTCCGTATCCACGGGCCAACCATTGACAATCGTCCGTGACTACGAAAAGTGTACAGTTTTGAAACCTCAAAATTAATATAATGAAAATAAAAAAAATGCGAGAGTAATCCGTAAAAGTATTTTTAATTATGTCTCCGACTCGAGAAAACCGAAGAAAATGCCATGTTACACAATTTTGTTATATAAAAGGTTGTTACAAACAATTAAGATACCCTTTGTAATCGTAGTCAAGACTGTGGGACAGGTTTAAAATTTCTAAGTAATTACGTTAAATATTTATTAATAAATTGTCGTGATAAAGTAGGCACACAGAGAAAAAGTACATAGCATTTGAATTTTAATGTAAATAACGTAAAAGTTTTTCAAATACCATTTTAATTTTAAGCAAGCAGAGCTTGGGTTGAGCTTTTACAATACAAATATTAAAACGCATCGCGTTAATCAATAAAAAATTCATTATTTCTTTGAATTACAGCCGTTGAAGATATGTACCGATTCTTCGGGGGCGTTATTCAAGTACTGAAAGTGGCCAATAATCATTTGGTGTTGAACTTCTGCATGCGCCTGCCTAGCTCCCAGCTCTTCAGTGTGGTGCTTTCCCGAAATGAAAACCAGCTGACTCGTGAAGATCTTGCAAGCATACACAACGTTTTCACAATGAAGCATTTGTCAACTTCGGCGTTGAAGAGAGTCTGCGAGAATTCATCTTCTACGATAATATTATCTAGTTTAGTTTTTGCATTAGCTTTCATTAATATTTTGAAAATACGCCTTTTATAAGATTTTTTTTGGTGCTTTTCTTGAAAAGAGTTAATTTCACTTAAAACGTGTATGATGTTTTCGCTTATTTATTGTATAGTTTTCTTGATCGAATTATGAAAGGTTTTGAAACGCCCATTAACTCAATTATTTTTTATAATAAGTTACTAAAATAAATTTCAGTAAATGTGGGTGATGAACTGTAATAGTTAACTCGAAAATATTAACAATAAAACTTTATATTTTACATTTGATTTCAATCGTTATAAAATATAATTTGCGTTTAATAATTTATATTATTGTTTGAAACTTTGAGTCGATTGTTGCTATTCGAAGGCTTATGGCATAATACCATCAATGTACAGTGGCCTGTGGCGTGTAAGTTATTTATTGGTAAATCTTTTTAGAAAAACTCAAAGTCGTTGTGGGCTAAATGATAAAACGCCCGACGATACGGCGAGGACATACACATCGCCTGATGGGACCTTGCCGGTATGCCGATGTTCGAATTTCCGCAGGCATTTGGATAAATTTTTGCAGTATCCTACGTACCTAACATCATCATCATTATAGTGGGTCACTCTTGGCAGAGCAGTCGTCATGTGAAATCCTTGTTTATTATAGTCTTGACAGCTGTTCTATATAATTCGCGAACTTAGGCCTGGCGCACGCACTCCTTAAGTGGAGTTTTGGTAAGATTTTTCACTAGATCAGTCCAGCGGATGGGGCTTCATCCACGAGGTCTTTTACCCTACCCTTATACCCTACCCTGAACAACAAGTTTCTCGATAGACTCTGCTGGCTGTCGCGATATTTGTCCAAAATATCGGAGAATCCTGGACTGCACTGAAAAGTACCTAAGACACGATCACAAATTAGTTTGACGTTATTGTGGATCGTGTAACAAAAAAGACGAACCTCACAAAATTAATAAAATTGTCTAATCACTGTTAGGGCGTATTCTGAGCGCATATTAGTAGGTGCAACCATCTTGCCTATTTCTGCCGCGAAGAAGTAATCCGTCTCAGACACCCAGGGATAGCTGTTATAAAATAATATTGTGACCTCGACTGCATCTCTCATGATCGGTGGAATTTACATTGTGACTTCTATGGGCTCCAGTAAGTACTTAACACCAAGTGGCTTGCGAAATTGCTCATCCATCAAGGACATTGATATAGATTGTAGTGAAGTTTGGGATATTTTTTTCTATCTACTATGTTATAGTAGCTCTTGACCTACTTTATGTTAAACGGTCATAGCCAATAGACACCAGAAGCTGTTTGCCAATGTGCAATCGAAGTCAATCGCAGCACAGCAGTGCTCTAACTCTTCATATCAAACTAGATTATTACTTCGCGGCAGAAATAGGCCGAAAGCTGGTACGACATATTATAAGGTCGCACGGAGAGACACACTCATAGATGGAACGTCTCGAAACAATCATGCGCGTAATTTTTTAATTTTTATTCTCCTTGTAGGCAGAGGGGCTACCGGATGGTGGGTAGTTACCGTCACCCATGATGTGAGCAATGCCAGGGGCAGAGCTAAGTCACTCCCTACCGTTAAGACGTAGGATAGTCATTATATATAATAATACAACTGAATCTATAATGTCACGTATCAAATAAATACAGTATGCAGTACCGTACATTGAAATAAAACTTGTATAGACTACGATCTCAAAGCGATAAAGCCGCCAATGGTTTTATTAATTCAAATATGTAATCTCAGGTATTTCTTATACTAATGATAATAACTTGTCGAGTTTTAATAAAGATCTACCTATATGTTTTTCTATCGAGAATAAGATGACAAATGTTTTAATTTACATGAATCATACTATGCGCAGTAGCGACTGTGACACTTGGCGAGATCACCTGTACCAATTTGCTAATTAAGGAGAATAGGGCGCGACCAGCACTTTGCCCCATAATCTTTACACTGCTCTGTGTGGAATCATGTTTCTGACGACCATTGTAATACTTGTCTCAACGCTGAGAGTTCAAGGGTTCTGCGGCGATAGTATTCGCTGGTCGCACCATTTCAAGATGGACGATGTCTTCGGTATGTGGTACGGAGCGGGGTACGCGCAGCACACACCTGACATGACTAATAAACCTAACGAAATTGGTTGCGTCACTTTGTACATTACTGACGTGACCACGGAGCCCCGCGAAGACTGGTTGGATTGGTCCGTGAGTACTTAAATACGCTAATTATCACAGATGTTCAAGAGCAATGTGCTAATTTTTATTTTTCCCAGTTTGTAGCAAACGGAGCAAGAAAATATGGGGTTTTTAGGAATACAAGACTTACACTATTGATAGTAGTTTTTATTATTGTTGGTGTGGGTGGGTTAAGGTCTTCTTTTTTTTTTTAATTTTTTTCGGGCCGGTGGCCGAACCTTCTTTGAGATTACCGCCCCTGGAGGGCGCGCGGAGTACGTGGGACTGGTCCATGACTGCGAACCACGGGCCCAAGGATATTTTTAGGGCCCTACTGCACTAAACGACTCCCCTGCACCCTAACAACCGACGTCCAATCTCCGCCCGGGGTCAGAACCTGGTCAGAGTAAAGGGGTTCCCGCGGTCAACACTACAACCAGACTTGCGGTGCCACCCCTAGGACGCCCGACCGACGGGTCGTCGAGGCGATAGTCGACACTAACGACGCCGGTCTCCGCGGTAAGACCGCCCAGGTGATGCCGCTGGTGTTCCATCTAGCCCATTTGACTTTATGCAGTTACCAGAGCTCATAGCTATCACAATGTGAATACCGCTCGCCTTGTGGTATGAGCTCAATGATAGTTGCTTTCCAATATCGGCATTATAATGCGTCAAATCAGACAGCATCCCTGCTCGCTTTGTGACATGACTTTGGCACTAATCGGTGGAGCCTCACAATAAATCATATCAATGTTTATGAAATCATCTATATCTATACTAATATATAAATCTACAGTGGTTTTTACGGATGTTCCGTTATAAATACTGAACCATGCATCCGATTGACTTGAAACTTGGTATTCATGTAGAAAATACATGTACTTAATGGACAGGCCCACACTTAGTCTGGCCATAAATACTGTTACAACTAAAAATAAACAAAATATTACATTTGAATTTGGAATCTGTCATTTTTAAAATCGAAACAACTACTGAAGCGGTACGCAAAGGGATGTCATAAAATTTTCCCATGGAAAGAGCGTGCTTCTATTGATAAATGGCCTCAACGTTTAAAGGACTGTATTGCAGCTAATGGGGACCACTTCGAATAAGCTTTTTATACTTTAAATTGTTTTATATTATGTTATTGTGTTGTTGTGTATTAACTAGTTGTGTATTAAACTAACACACTGTAAAATTAATAAATGTTATTTGCCATAGAATTTTTTTGTTTTCATTTGTAACAGTATTTATGGCCAGACTAAGTATTTATATGAGAGTTGGACGCCCTCCCAGCGAAGCGGACGGGTACAGCTAGTCTTATATAATATTATGTTATTTATTTGTTCGACACGGGATTTCATTGAAATTAAAATGATACGTTACTTTCAGATTATCCGGCCTAACTATTCCGATTACAATTGGCGCTCGTACAAGAGTAATCCGTGGTCAGATAATTCAATGTCCGGATCTTGGGTTGATGTTAAAATCAAGAGGAGCGTTCGGAGAGACATGTACAGTGAGAGACGTCTGCGAATTATTTGGGATGAAGATGGTCAAAGTATGGAGCAGACGTATGAATATTCGACTGACGAACCTGGTTTATGGGTTGCTGAGGATAGAAGACAGCTTGAAAGAGAAATGCGAGCTAGAGGAATGGGCAAGTTCACATATTCATACAATACTTATTACTTTATTTTACATTGCAGTGTGTATCATGTAATTTACTGTTTATTATTTTCTTACTCATTTTATTTGCTTTTCTTCTATTTAATGATATCTTTCTTATCAGAGATTTCTAAGAGACATAAAATCGAGTTTAATATTTTAAATGTTTTTATACTTAATTTTTTTTTTTTTTTTTTTTCCTACCTATGCTGATAGCCTTGAGAGGCTATTTCAGCTTCGCCCTAACGTTAGTAGGTGAGCTCGCGGGGCTCAACCGGAGAGTTGCTAACACTGACCCTAGCAAGAGCAGTGCTTCGCAGAATCTACCACCGGATCGGAAACGCGACCCACTGAGAAGATCCGGCGAGAAACTCAGTGGGCTGTGTCAATGGGTTAGTTCGCTCGTCGAGCCCTTCGTCGCAAGCGACGGGTTCGACGAGGACGGTGACCGGTGCTTGTGGTGCCTAAAAGCACCGTTAATGGATCAGGAGGATCCGTAATGACGTGCTTTGGGCGACGTCGACGGTTTACCATTCGGTCTACTGGGTATACTTAATGATAACAGTGTGAATACAGCGTTATCATTTTTTGCCAATTGTAACCTTAAAGTTGAATCATTTTGACAATATAACGAACGAATTGCAAGCAAGTCGACTTTTTAGTGATGGTAAGACAAACCATTCTGTTCTCTATCTACCGCCAAGCATTGATGGATTTGTGGTATTGAACTGACGTTATAACATGTATTATAATATATGCCTGGCCTATATTTCAAGATCGGTAACGCAATTCACATTATGACGCTGATGGACTCCGGTAACAGCTAAAAATCATGTGGGCAATGATCTCATTTGCCAAAAATCTATTAAAAATAATTGTGTTGAGTTGCGCTTTTAATTTAATTAATTACAGGAAAAACTCTTATCAAGAAATGCTAGGCTAAGCTAAGCTGAACTTATAAAAAAAAAAACATTATTCAAATTTATTTATTCCACAGATATTTGGGATCCAAACGTGCTTCCGAGACATCCGCAAGTAATAAGAATCCTAAAAGCATCTCAGCATTTATTGATCATCAATCATTGTTCGGAAATAGGCGACGGTGGTATTTTCACGCTTATCTTGAGGAGATCACCGTCAAAAATGAATAGGTGGGAGTGGTATGACTATCAGAGACAGTTCTTTAGCTTTGATCTGCCAAATATGTACCGTTATTCAACTATTTGTGCTGGCTGTGTTCTAGGCAGTTCATTATATTTTGTTTTCTTGTGTTACATAATTTTATTGATAAGGCATTGTGTTTAAAGCATTTTAATTAAAATAATTATTTCTAATTCGTTCTTGTTGACAAATTTAGAATGAAATATTTAATAAGAATTCAACCAAAGACAATAAATTATAACATTCACATTCATACATAACCAAATTATAACGTTAAATGTTTAAAATTTTGTATTTATTTTAGTTTTAGTTTCCTTCATGGTTATAATATGTTTATTTAAAATGCATTTTGTATTTTTTATTTATTTATTTATATAATGTTGGCGCCGATTATAATAGTGCCGCTTTCGTTCATTAAGAAAAAAAACCATCCGTTTACTAAGATGCATAGACAATATAACTTTTACCTTATTAATCGTTGGCAGTCTGAGAGGCTATTATAATTATCCATAGTTTGGCAGGTGAACTCACGGGGCTCAACTTGGGAGCACTAGCTAACGCTAGTCCTATTTTTTATTTATTTTTGAAGTTATACTTCTTTAGGCGCGTTATGAAAAATTGATGAGAGTGAAATTTTACGATGCGCGCGCACCGTGACACAAAATTAACAGAAATGAAGTTGCCAACTAAATCGCTCATTACAATACGACCGATGTAACTTGGCGATTCTGAATATAGCCGCAGGTGAACTTTCGCGCATGTACACTCGTAAAAAAAAGTGTTATTAGCATTCATTTTTTAGTAATATAAATGACAAAATTATTATTTAATATCATTCATACTAAATATTATTAAATTATGAATGTTAAATATTTATTATTATTATTTAATCTTAAAAAAAAAAAATTCATAAAAATAAAGTATAACTTCTTACGCGCGTACATAAGTACACGCACCCTTTTTTATTGCTTAGATTGGTGGACGAGCTCACAGCCCACCTGGTGTTAAGTGGTTACTGGAGCCCATAGACATCTACAACGTAAATGCGCCACCCACCTTGAGATATAAGTTCTAAGGTCTCATGTATTTTTACAACGGCTGCCCCACCCTTCAAACCGAAACGCATTACTGCTTCACGGTAGAAATAGGCAGGGTGGTGGTACCTACCCGCGCGGACTCGAGGTACTACCACCAGTAACAGAAGCAGTGCTTTGCTAAATCTACCACCAGATCGTCGATTTAAGTTGGATTGGTTTACTTATTATAAAATATGTCCTGGTTGGTATGGTGGACGAATTTTTAGAAATTCAACGATTATAGGCTTCGCACGGTGGAGACTTCATTTACATCTCAATCTCATTTTGATTGATTGCGCTTGTCTGATAATTCTTGTTTATGCCCAGATGAGAAGCCGGTACGGTTTTAATCTAGCCATATGCTTCTTAGATTCTAGCTCAAAATCTGAAAACTCTACTGTAGATGTTACTCATGATAGGATTATGAATTTTCTCGAGAGATTTTTTATTAATTTTTTATTGCTTAGATGGGTGGACGAGCTCACAGCCCACCTGGTGTTAAGTGGTTACTGGAGCCCATAGACATCTACAACGGCTGCCCTACCTTTCAGACCGAAACGTATTACTGTTTCACGGCAGAAATAGGCAGGGCGGTCCGAGAGTCCAAGAGGTTGTCCATAAATTAGTTCTCCTGTAAGCTACCTGGTTTGGAAGTCTTCTTTAAGTGTCTCTTGCATGCTCAGTGGCGCCAAAGGCAGAACAGTATACTATGTTAGGACTTCATCATCTCGCTCCCAGCGATGACTTTTTTAGCAAAACCGCTTTTACTAAATCGTTTAAGTTTTTTAAATTTATTTTTATGACTTTGTGACTCGGGTTCATGGCCGCCACAAATGTATCGTCACAAAATTGTATTGTTTGTATTTCATGTGTGCTGTGTGAATCTTATACCTTTAAACGAGCAATTCTTGTATATTAATATATATGCATATAATCTGAATCTCGGAAACGGCTCCAACGATTTTCATAAAATTTAGTATACAGGGGATTTCGGGGGCGATAAATCTATCTAGCTACGATTTATTTTCAGAAAATTTTATTCGTGTTTTCATTAATCAACTCTTCCCGACATCTATTGTCGAATAATAATACTATTTTTCTTAATTGAGGGCAACTAACCGCTTTAAAGACACAACAAGATGGCGTTATAAAAAAAAAAAAACGAGCAAAGCTCGGTCATCATCTAGTCATTACTTAAGAATACGTTATAGACAATTTTATGTCCGTAATGGAACATAATTAGCATAATTGTTAATAAGGGTAGTTCCTGCTTAGAACGGTGACCCGACTCATCTCTGCAGTCAAAGATCACAGTTCACGTGTATCCGTCACAAACAATATTGTTACGTCTAATCGAGAGCTTCTTAAAGGTACAATTTACAGCATCTAATTAATTCGGAAATGCATACATTATATTCAAATTCATAATTATGGTTCTGTGTAAAAATTGTAGATAGTTGTGGAAACGAGATTATTTGACATAGTGCAGAAGTACGAAAACGGCACTTCGATAATAAACCTCTCAATCATTATCGTTATTTATACCTTCAATAACTTATATATAACAGTACATAACTATATAGAAGTAGAATAAGTATGTATAGTAGGGTATTATTCTGTAACAGTTTAGATTTAAGAGCAAAATTCTTACTCCCAACCGACGCTTAACATAATAATATTACTGATATCGATTTCGTGTATATTTTAATACCCACTGTATTAAAATATACACGAATTTGAATTAAAATGAAGCATAGACCAACATCATATTATTATGAAACTTTATTGATATTTGTATTCGTTCGCAGTAACTGACCATTAGGGATGATTAACTTTTAAATATTGAAACTTGTTTTTGTCTAATATTATTATTAATACTTATATTTAGTACTTCCTATACTATATTGTTAGTAATTGGTGTTGACACAATATTTGCTACCGGTGACAGAAGATCAGCCAACACATATTCCCGGAGAATGTAAATGGTATATTGACTTTTAAATTTTTCTTTCAATTTTCTCACATTTCGACTATTGAATCCGTTTCAAATTTACGTAGCAGCAAGCATATTTTGTCTAATTGTACTTCAAATTTTTCGATTTTCAGTAGTTATTCAATTCAGTGTTCGAGTTAAATAGGGAGCTTGCAACATTAAGAGTAATTTTCGAAAATAGGTAACATTGACGAAACGATAAGTTTGAACACTGATGTTGAAAACTAACCGATATTCGTTATTATTACATCATGATAACGCTAACCGCATATTCCTCAACAAACCGATTATAAGAGCTGCAGTTAGGGAGTCCACGTCACCCGTACTTGACAAACTTAACCCACCTATTGGATAAAGTCAGAAACCGATACAAAAAACCTTCATAAAATGTCTACAATTCAGATTTCCAGAGCTCATATCGTTATGGCACAAAAAAATGTAAATATTTAACTTGTGGCCATGGCTTTTTATTTTACACTGTACAGCTGGTAAATCTAAAAGAGCAAGACGTGGGTGGATATGTCTATATAGTCCACGAAATAGCACAGCATTTTGCTGAAATTCTAACCAAGCTAGCCCCACGCTTTTAGTTAAAACAGAATACGGATACTTATTTATTATTATTGCTTTGTTGACATAAAAACATTAAATTGACTGTCGAATCGTAATTGTTAAATTATTTGAAGTATTGTTTTAGTTTATTATCAATTTAATGTAATTGAAAGGGCAAATTTTAATTAGATCAGTTAACATTTTGATGTGCCTGCTCGTGTCTGTCGGATACTGGGATCATTTAATTGGACTTAATAAGTTTACTTCCCACTCTTATAGTAAGACGAGAGCAGTCATATTTTGTAGACCGCAAACTAACAAACACGCGACTGCGCCCGCTGACTGAGTAACTGAAATAAAGTGAACATGTTCGATTTACTTGGGACTTTGAGTTTATTTTGGGGAATAGTAAACAGTGCAAGCTACCAACGCTACGGAGATCAGTACTCAAGCACTCCGTATCCAGGATATTCATCGTATTCAACGATATCAAATCCATTTCAAATACCTTACAAGTCGAACACATATGGCAGTGATGTTGCCAATTTTCCTGAAGCTACAAGATACCCAAACTACAGTCCCGGATACTCTACGCCAGGATATGGCAGTTACAATACGATGAAGTCCAACCTTTTCTACCCACCAGGGTATAGCACTGACCAGTACGCTGGCTACGGTCAGAGCTTTAGTTCGTACGAGGTCCCGTTCATGAACAACATGAGAGACTATTGTGTAAATAGATCACCACAGACTGGTATTTGGGTGGATAGACTGATGGGAATGTGGTACGGAGTAGAAATCATACAGCACTTGGCTGGAGATGCGAGAGTAGATCGCTACAGAACATGTGTGGTAATTCACATTTCAGAGCCGTTGGATCGCGTAAGTCAATTTTATTTTATTTTAGTGTGTTTTTGATTGAATGGTGCTGTTAAATCCTAATTTTTTCTGAATTGAGTTTATGGTTTTAACTTACGTACTTACTGGTGGTAAGCGTGATAGGTTAGGTACCACAATTTTGTTTATTTAGAGAGCGAAGCAAAGCTAATAATTAATACTACACTTACATACATACATAGGTACTTTCATATTGCCATGTACATTGTACTTTCACCACAAAACTAAGTTTGCTTCTGAAGAATACTCGTTTTATTGACTGACGACTCTCCAACTCATCCGGGCCGACAATACGCTCGGATTTTGCTACGGATAGAAGATTGGGAAATAGTAATAGCACTCGTGATATGTTTTACCACCATGTTGCCATGAAGCCAATATGCATTACTGTAGCCTTTATATTGAAACATAAATCTTAGGTGAGCGCCGGTTATAACTAGTCATGTACTGCTTGACGTCAAGTGAGATTCGAGCTTTTTAGCTAATTAAAAAGTTCAATACATATTTATAATATAAGATATTTCAACATCAGAAATTTGCTATCATTATTCGTAATAAATGTATTGTAAAGGTCGGCTTAAGAATGTAGTTTAGAAAACAAAAATTGGCATAGTAGGTATCGTGGTTATTGTATCAAACGTTTGTTTATTAGTGCGGGGTCAAGTCGCGTGAATCAGCCGCCTGCACGCTTGTTCACTTGTCAGTCGGAGTCGATCTCTTGAAAAAGCGCAATATTTACGCGCCCGCGCATCTCACCAAACTCAGATGATAATAATTCGAATATTACATTATTTAAAATGAATTAATTTTGTGTAAAAATCGTGGAAAAATCACACGATCAAATGGCATTTCAAGGATACATTTGGAGGTTTCTGTGGTTGTTTTTCACGGTTTCTGCAGTGTCGGGAATCGATGAGCGAAATCAAACACAATCTAACAGTACAGTTTTATGTGAACGTGTACACGAATACGACAAATTGGATATAAGACGAGTGACAGGAGTATGGAAAGCGGTCGAACTTTACAAGCATTTGATCAAAGAGGGTGTTAATAAGTACAATAGTTGTCCCGTTATAACAATATGGGAGGCTGAAGAGTTCCCAAGATCTACGTTTGGGGTAGGCATTTTTTGAATAAAATATTGGTTAACCTTGTCATATTTTTAAATTAAGTACCTATTTATTTAGCGTAAGTTTTCAATATTTTGATTAAAACTCAATATACTTTTATTCATTACTTTAACAAGCTAGGTACTTCGTGTTTTATCCATATTTTTTCTTGATAAGAAATTCATTAAATCATATTTAAGTCATTCATAAAAATTGTGTGAGACAGATGTGCAAGTTCTCAATTGAGCAAATATTATTCATTCATCTCTTCACGTGGATTCTATTCACGACGACTGAACTATTGTGTCCTTGCATTGCATTCTTATAAATAGGAAATAGACGCAACACTATAATAACTTTGTATTGGCCAACATGATTTTGAAAATCGTAAATCCTTGAAGAAATTTAATGAAATATTGAATGAATAATATTATTATGAAATGATAATTTTTAATTGACTTTGTTTTCTGATATTTTGTTCAATTTTGTTGATTCAACTTACTACATATTTATTTAAGATATTATTACTAATTACTAATTTTCATTATTAAAGTCGTTTGGAAAAAATAATCTTCAATTTAAATAATAACCACAATTGCAATTAACTAAACACAAAAATTGCAAATGAATTGCTATCTTATCGTGTGACCATTAATAATTATTTCGTAATGAACTACACACCGATAAAAGACTCGACATTAGTCATCTGATTCTCGTGGGGATATCCCTTGTATATAGGGCCTGTGAATCGAGAGGGTTCCGGACTCCGGCCGCAATGAGCGCGGCACATCCTGGCCAACAATTTGAATGTCAAAATAAAGTTCGATGTTCTGATTATGCTGGAAATGGTCTTCTTTAACCAGCCAAAACGATGTTTCGACAAAATCGCGCACTAATCGTGTTTCTCTGTTTCTAAAAGAACAAAAATATAATACATAAAAGTTTTTTTTTTTGTTTGAAATGTTCGATTCGTAATCTCGTATTTTTTAATTACGGGATGCCATTTGTGAATCTAAACCGGAAAAAATTTTAAATTTACGTACTTGCGTACTAGGGGTAGAAGGAATCCTAGAAGGAATGTTGAGGCCGTATTGATAGGTAAATATAGGTATATAGGTATTTTTGTCGCGAAGCAGAAGAGCGTACCAGTTTGAATTTTAGATAATATATTTGAGACTTGACTACTTTACGTCTCAGTTTGTGTTGAGCATGTATTTTATTACGTCTATTGGTTCAAATGACTGTTTAATATCACGTAGGATTTGATTAAGATTCGCTTACTATCAAAAGTAATAAGAAAACACATCAATTGTAATAAAATTTTATTCTTTGAGTCGAAGTTTTGAATATGTGTTACTGACAGTTAAGAGTGAAATCAAAATGAAATATTAGAAAAGATAAAAACTTATGAATTTATAACTGTTGTTAAATTAATTCAACCAACCAAATTAAGTCTAGCATAAGGACACTAGTCCTGCATGTAACCTTACAGCATTCAAACTGGGTCAATAAATTAGGATTACTCTGTATTAGTCATAACTACAATAATGCCAATTAACGGAGTCGGAATTTGCTTCACCCACTTCAGAATGGATGACCCAATGTACAGAAGTAATTAGGGTCGTTTTTTTTGTATCTAAAGCACCTTTTGACCATACGACCTGTGTCACAATCCTCCTTCACCGGCTCCTCCTCCCACGTGAGTGACTCATGAGGTCAGGCTAAGTGGCCCCGGAACGTAATAATGAACTTGTGGATCTTTAATACTAACCAGTAAATTAAATTATTCATTCATTTCACTGAATTGATCGCGAAACAAGCCTTTTGAAATAGAAGATAAAATTAAGGTGGGTGGCGGCATTTACGTTGTAGATGTCTATGGGCTCCGGTAACCACTCAACACCAGGTTCAAAAATACTAATAATAATTAAAAAAAACTGATGAAACGACTCTAGTTGACTTGTTCGAGTATTCGAAATCTATATCAATAAGGGTAATATTGAAAATTTTAATTTATTTTAGCCATCAACAGAGAACCAGTTGTTCCACGTGCAGCAAATTAACGCTAAATTTAGACAGCAATACAGGAGTCTCAGACTATTGTGGGACGAGGCAGGTCAGACCGTGGAATATTCATTGTACTTCCGAAATGACTCCGCTGGATATTGGCAAGTCCTCAACGAACAAAACGGTAAGCAATTATAAAGATTATTTCAGATCGGTGGCAGAATGACTAATGTCGCGCTCATTAAAAATCCATAACTAATTACGAATATTTTTTCAACTGGGTAGGATCTCCGATACTTTCGAATTAAGCAATGCGTTTACCTCAGAGTTGAAACACTCTGGTCAAGTCTTACGAACTAGAGATCACTATATAGCCTATTTCAGCCACGAAGTTGTTGACAAAATAATCTTAATGTCATTTGTATAGCTCTTAATATACTATAATGGAGACTCATCCAGCCTCAAGTTGACAGCTGGGATTCATCTAGTAATGCCTAATGACTCTGATAATCACTTAACATTAGATGAGTCGTGTACCCACTTGCTCATATCTATTCTATCTATATAATAATGAATTGCTGTTCGTTCATCTTGCTAAAACTCGAGACCGGCTGGACCGATTTAGCTAATTTTGGTCATGAATTATTAGTGGAAGTCCAGAGAAGGTTTAAAAGGTTTAGATAAATATGACAGTGCTCGGAATTAAATAAAAATAACAATTTTGTTTTCGCTTTGATGTGTCCCCCGTCGGACGGATTTCTTATGTTTGTTTTAAGTTTATTTCATACAAAAGTTTAGGTCTTTTATTTATCGATTGAGGCACTACGAAGTCTGCCGGGTCAGCTATAATTTATTGTCTGAATAATTGAAATTTAAAGTTCTTGTGTTGTTTTTGGCATTACATGGAAATATATGGAGTAGAGTTCATCCATACTACCTGGAGCCACTGTGGTCATCCACAGTGCGTTTCCAGAGGTCTTTTTTGCCACGTACCATCCGGCTATGGAATGAGTTCCCCTCAACGGTGTTTCCCGAGCGCTACGACATGTTCTTCTTCAAACGAGGCTTGTGGAGAGTATTAAGCGGTAGGCAGCGGCTTGGCTCTGCCCCTGGCATTGCTGGAGTCCATGGGCGACGGTAACCACTCACCATCAGGTGGGCCGTGCGCTCGTCTGCCTACAAGGGCAATAAAAAAATATATATATACTTGGCCCCTATCCTTATTTTGACAACTAGGTATAACTGTGTTTTCTCTCTATGTAGTGGTAGGGTGTCTTGTGAGCCCGCACGAGTAGGTGCCATGACCCTGCCTATTTCTGCCACGAAGCAATGATAAGTTTCAGTTTGAAGAGCAGTCGTTATACTATAGAATTGTGACTTAGAGCTATAGTCTAAAGGTGGGTGGCGGCATTTACATTGTTGATGTCTATATTATCCGGTAATTACTTCAGACTAGTTAGGTGGTCTGTGAGATTGTTAACCCGTCGAAGCAATAAAAAAATTATCTAACTTAACTTACAAAAATATCATTAATTCCACAAATTAATTACACATGTATGTTTTAGGTACGTTGGCAATCCGTCCGAATTATCAACAGTTTAGCGGAACAGTGCAAGTTCTAAAAGCAGTTAACGATCACTTGGTGTTAAACTTCTGTCAAGAGCCAGCAAACGGACGAACGGCTCAACTATTTTCAGCTTTATTCTCCCGTGAGCCTGGACGAATGCCGAGATGGGAAATAGAATCGGTACACAGCTTGCTTCAGAATAAGAAGCTCTCGGTTGCATCGAGGAGAATGGTGTGCGGCGGTGCAGAGAAACCTTTTTTTAGTATAGCGCTTACCTCTGTTATGGTATTTTTTTCACGCCTGGTAAGATCGGGGTGAAAACTAACGAAGTTATTATATTTAAAATAGTTATTTAAAAGTACCTAATATATTCTGTAGGTGTTTAGACAGGTTACAAGTATCACGTGGTATTTATTAACTAATATCGTTATTTTTATAATACCGTTCGTATACTTACATAATCGTTAATATTAAATTATGTCTTAATTTTGAAATATGGTCCGTCCTTAAAACTGAAAGGTTTTTCGCTATAGAAAATTAATTTCCCGCATATAGCATTTATTCCGAAATGTAAAAGTCACATTTCATAATTATTATTGCGGAATTAAAGGTGTTAGTTAGTTTTTGAACCAGTGGTTTAGTTTTATTTTGTGGTTTATAACAAACATTTAGAAAAGCTTGAGTGAGTCAATTTGTGTTTAATTTTTTTAAATCACATTTTATGATTTTATCATATCACGAAAATGCATTTAATAAATTGAAATTACTATATAATAAGTAAACATATTAGCGGATCTGTTTTAGGGATTAAGCGTTAAATACAAAGATATTGACTGAATAATATGAACATTACACCTCAGTATTGTTATTATAGCAATAACAAAACTTAAAAAACTGTTATTACTATTTCAATCTTTGCAAAGATAGATGCATATTATACCAAATATATGTAAGTTTAGAAGTTAAAAGCACACTTCTAAGAATATAATCAAGATTAAGTATTATATAAGTAATTATGAATAAAATTTTATTTTGATATATTGTGGGTATTTTTATTTCTGTCAGTTTTAGGAGTTTACTTAGAATAAAATTATAACTCACCAAAAATGAAAAAAAGTGGATTAGAAAATTTTTAGAGCAGAGGCATCAACGGTCTGTAGAGGTTTCGCTTTGTCAGTGGCATTGCTTATTTCCATGAGGGATGGTAGCTATCATTAGATAGGCTATGTGCTCGTTGAATTCAAAGTCAATAATTTAGAAAAGATATGAAACTAGCTAGTTTGCATGAATTTATATTGTATTTGCGCTGACGTACCTAGTATTAAAAACGGTGTATTTGCCGTTATTTATCTACCGCGCAGCAAATTAATCTTTAAGACCATTTAATAAATAAGCGATGAATATTGTTCGGAACCGCACTAAAACGTGTAATTGCAAAGCAACAGCTGTCATTTATATTTTTATAATATTTAATTTTGTTTCAAAAGTCATTAAGAATAAACTGTCAGCCATGAAAGTTGCATCATAATTTTATTTTATTTTATTGTAAAAATCTTCCTCCTCGCAAATCCAAAGAAAGTATAATTATCTAAATAAGAAACCGTCCGCTACAAATATAGTCTCCAGAAATTTGAGGTGCAAACGTCACTTATGGCTAATTTATTACCAAGAGATTATGTTAAACGGGAACAACTTCAATTGCTCAAACTGTGATACGGCCTCGATTCAATCAGGCGATAATTAAGAAGACATTCGATTTATTAGGCGGTACCATAGATTATACACAATTTTATGGCACACGCGAAAGTAGTGTTCATCATTACACTGATCGTTATTTTGTGGAAATCGACGTTATCAGATCTTCTTAGTATATTTCTACTAAAGCAGATTAACATTCACTCGTCACGAGATCTAATCGTACGTCCGAGATACTTTAAAATTTGCATATAAATTGTAGATCTTTTGCGTTTATTGCATTAAGGATGGACTTGGCAACGTCTTGACTGTGCCCCTGGCAGTGCTGTCGTCCATGATCGATCACTCACCATCAGGAGGACCGTATGTTCGATGCCTGCAAGAAGAATAAAAAAAATCCAAATCTTATCCAGAATTGATTTTTCTACTATAGTCGCATACGCATAGAAAATGTTGCTATAGTCATATATGTTTTTTTTTATTGCTTAGATCGGTGGACGAGCTCACAGCCCACCTGGTGTTAAGTGGTTACTGGAGCCCATAGACATCCACAACGTAAATGCGCCAGCCACCTTGAGATATAAGTTCTAAGGTCTCAAGTATAGTTACAACGGCTGCCCCACCCTTCAAACCGAAACGTATTACTGCTTCACGGCAGAAATAGGCAGGGCGGTCCGAGAGTCCAAGAGGTTGTCCATAAATTAGTTCTCCTGTAAACTACCTGGTTTGGAAGTCTTCTTTAAGTGTCTCTCGCATGCCCAGTGCCCACCCCTGCGGACTCACAAGAGGTCCTACCACCAGTAAGTATATAGTACCAGTAAGTATGTATATAGTCATCGTAACTGTTGCTACAGGACGAGTAGTATATGGATCGCACAGTGTAAAAAGAGTCTCATAGAATCATTTGCTTAATAAACTAATAGTAATTAATAAACAAAATTATGAAATCTCCAAAAAGTGCTAATAACTGATATTGGTTTGACAACGGTGAAATAATATTTATGCTTGTTTGTAGACACCCCTCAGTTCAATCTATAATTTGAAAATAAACTATGCAGGTGACCTATTTAGGTGTTAAAATAGTGATGTGCAGGCAATACTATTTCAATAACACTGTGTATTTATATATGTATGCTAGGATTAGAAGGTCTATTTAGATTTTATATTTTCGTGTTATAGAATGTCACTTTTGTGTGATCGAGGTAAAACCACTTTATTATTAAGTCAATATCGAAGTGCACGACTTCACAATTTTCATATTAGAAACAAGGTTATATTTGCCACGCAATGTATCATTAAAATATGATGTATGTTTTATAAGTCAATGTAAACAATTTTTTATTTTATTGCTGAGGTGGGTGGACGAGCTCACAGCCCACTTGGTGTTAAGGGGTTACTGGAGCCCATGGGCATCTACAACGTAAATGCGCCACCCACCTTGAGATATAAGTTCTAAGGTCTCAAGTATAAGTTACAACGGCTGCCCCACCCTTCAAACCGAAACGCATTACTGCTTCACGGCAGAAATAGGCAGGATGGTGGTACCTACCCGCGCGGACTCACAAGAGGTCCTACCACCAGTAAATGTTAGGTTTACATCACATAGTATAGCCTAAGGGTGCCGCCAGACGGTAAGTCTTGGTAATACCGTTCTCCTTAAATCTGCTCTAGAACAATCATGTTCCGGTTTGAAGAATGGGATAGCTGTATTCTAATATAACCGATAATTCAATCTAATTATATCTCAAGGTTGTATGTATTTACGTTATGATGTAAATGAACTTCAGTAACTATAACACATTCGGCGGGTCGTCTTAGGTATTGAACAAATGTTTGGAGACTTATATAAATTAGCAGATAAACGTGAGGTGGGAAAAGAATAATTGCACGGAGTTAAAATATCAGTTAGTGGACTGGCACTAAAAAGGCTGTATAGTAATCGGCAAACTTCTTGAGCAAATGACCTTGACTGCGCAGAACCGAATTTTAGATCACTTTGGTGGTGAGGGTGAGGCGCGACGGCAGGGGAAATAGTATCGAGCGCGTTATTGGTAGATCAGTCGAACCTTGCGTCCCGCACCGCGCCCTCATTCCGCTTGCTCCCAAAAGTACGCTTGCGTACAGTGGAAAGTCTATCGTTATTAATCGTTAAGTTATTTGTTATAATTGCTTGTGGACTTTGTTGCCATTGCTATTTGTTGAGTGTTTGTTGATTTTTTATAAAACATACACTATGCCGTGACAAACTGGTGTAGTACTTAAAAGAAAGGGTAGAAAATTTGTGTACGACGTATATTGCTTCATTATAAAACAGGGGAAGAATGATATGGAAAAATTAAAACAGACTTCGGAAGCAACAAAAACATCAGTGAGTACTGTTAGGTGCATTATTAACGAAGCTAAAGGCTCTGGCTTGCTCGCCGTGTTTCGGACTCCGGGTAAGAAAAGATCAGGGAAGAAGAAAGTTACCGGAATGGATAGTTTCGTTCAATCTGTAATAAAAAGATGTAATCATAATAACTACATAACAAGCAGCGAAACTCCGTACCGTAGAAAGGCTTCGAAAAATTTAAAGAAGATATAAATTTTAATGGCTCGGAATGAAGCTTACGACGAATTATGAAAGAGCTAGGCTTCAGATGGAAAAAAAGAACAGAAAATAATCGGAAGCTGGTAAATGAAAAAAGTAACATTCGATTACTACGAATCGAATATCTTCAAAAAATAATTAATTATAGACAAAAAAGAAGACCGAATCGACCGAGTTGTAAACTACGCCCATGAGCCCTATGTCGACTCATCACGATGATAGCGACTCGGGTGATGAAAACAGTGATGATGATGATGGTCAAGATTATGATAACGAAAAAAAATATACAAATACCAGCTTCGCTTCAACTGAACCAAGACCTGGCAACAGCTCTAGTTTTGACTTAATAGAAGGAATATCTATTGTACCCCAAGATTAAATTATTACAATTATTAACCTACATGTTTTGTTGATGTTCTAATAAATATATAAATAAATACATATGTTGATTTTAATAATTTTAATAGCATTATGACGCAGAGTAAGTAATGTTTTTGCACGTGAGTGTACCATGCGCAAACTTACCCCCACTACGTCAACAAATGCTCAAGAAGTTTGCCGGTTATTATACAATTAATGAGAATGGTCCCGAAAAAGCATCTGCTTAAGGAGCTAAACGTTAAATCCATTTTAATTCTTAATATTGCGTCGTAAAAGCCACGTAATCTATACTAATATATAAATCTACAGTGGTTCTTACGGATGTTCCGTTATAACTACTGACCCATGCATCCGATTGACTTGAAACTTGGTATGCATGTAGAAAATACATGTACTTAATGGATAGGCTAATATTTATTCGAGTGTTGGACTCTCTAATGATAATGATAATAAACAATATTGTTCAATTTAAATGGCCAGCGAAGCGGGCGAGTACGGCTAGTCGAATCTAAAATTATGAATATCTGAAATTAGGCGAAACGTTAAAGTTACTCGTGTGCGATTACTTAGCGATTTCGGCTGAGCTTTAAACTAGAAGCCGTACAAGTCCAAGGCTCGTAAAAATGTAGCTGATTGTTACTGGTTTCAAAACGATCCAATTTAAACTTGTGATGTCTATTGGAATTGAAAATAAAAATATCATTTTTTACCTTAACACCGACAGCAGAAGGTTGAAATTAGGTCGTTATCGCGTCTCAGTTCGGTGGCCTCGTAAACGTTGACGTCATATCTTACCTCAGTGGGTGGATCAGTCTCACCCCGGGGTCGGGAGAGCATGAGAAGGACATACGTAGTACGAAATAGTTTTCGAGATTTTTGTGTCTGATATACTTAACTCAATAAACGTGTACTCTTGTACTTTACTGATGTTTTTATTATGTGTATCGAAACTGAATTAAAGTTTATAGTATGTTAGTTTAGTTTAGTATGCGTCATAAAACAATTTTTACGGTTTAATATCGCGTTTATTATTATACTTTACAGAGGGAGATACATAAATTCATTTTTCTTTGTTAAAAATATTACCTTAGCTAACTAGTTACCGCGTCGGCAAATGAATTTAAACTAAATTTCCCGTTCTATTTCAAATATCTACATTGAATACTACAATAAAATTAAAAGCTACGCCCACAGAAATGACACCCAATCTTTCATAGCATTATGTATTGCATTATCAGGTAATTTGATACCATTCAACAAAACCATTAACATAATTATTTTCTAGCAGTCATTTTAAAATACAGCTCTATGCCTTTCGAACCTTTAACGAATAACAATGAAAATTGTTATATTATTGTTCAGTGTGCTCATCACTGTTTACGGCAAAGAAGCGCATAAAAAAAAAGAAGATGTGACTTGTGATGGTGTTTATTTACACGGAAAATTTCACAGGAAAGAAGTTTTATCGAATGGTGTCAACCGTCCCTACCAGCTGTCGTATTACAATAACACAGTTTTCTTCAGCCAAAACATCGGAGACGACAAGAAAGATACGTTCGAAATCGCCTACGTGAGACATGGTCAAATGATGCCGGAAGCGATAAACAAAACTACAAACGGATTCGCAACAACGGTGGATAGGAAACATGAATTAATATACTTTGGAGGTAGCGATGGAGTGTATGTTCATAATTTCAAGGAACCTGGCGAAATCAAGCATATTATCAAATATCACGATATTTGGGATATGTTTTTTTATAAACATCTTTATTTTATTGTGTATCCGTCGCTCCGCCTTCACAAGAAGGTTGGTGACATTATAGAAATCATAGAGCACATTCAAGAAAAAATATTTCAATTCGCCGTCGATGGTGATGATGATATTTTTATAACTACGAGGGACGGATTGTATGAAATAAAAAACGGCACGTCAGAACGTATTTTGTACGAGGGACCCAAAATTTTCAGGGCATTGGAGGTCAATCACGACGGCGTTGCATTTTTTTGTGGACAGAATGCGATTTATATTGCTGACAAAGAAAAATACAAATTAGAGGTAGTTGCTCATATTAGGAACGTTTTTGGTTTGACTTTCGATGATGATAATAACATGATATATTCAAATCCGCATGAAATTATTAGGTTGTTGCCCGAAGATTGTAAATGACAATAATCTATGTTCTAATGCTGAACTTATGAAATAAAAAATGATTTTTGGAGTTTTTTTTTATTTGATGAAATATTTGTGATATAGCCATAATGTTCTCTGACAGTGTTTGCTAGTTAGTAGATGTTTTTTATTAAGTTACAATTTAATTAACCCAGTAATTTAAATGAATATTTTGTAACGCGTTTGTGCGTAAAATTGTGTCTGAAACTGTTACGTCATAACAGCGGATAAAATACTAGGAGCTGATAAATTGTAGGAAGTTAGTACAAAGAGAGAAAGAGATACAAGAGGAGGTTGTATCTCTTTTTATCGGAGGGTACCCTTCGTTCCACCCCCTAGTCTATATGAAGGGGGCTACTGGTCCCCTTCACAACGTTTACAGATTACTAAAATTGTTGACTGATCGGTTTTTATATGTATGTGTGATAAAAGCACGTAAATGTTTTTTTAGGCATGTACGCTTTTGTGACAATTTCAAAACTATTCGCATACCAACATTCTAAGTTTGGTTTATAGTGTTCACTTAGGATGATTGATATTTTTATAATCTATAACGTACTTAGTCAACTTTCTTAGAAACTCCACATGCAGGTGAATTCAGAGTAAGAGAGAATTATTCATCGACTGCAGTATCTGTACTTACAAAAACTTGAATGTATATTTTGCTCGTGTAAAAATAACGTTCATTTTACAATAAATTAATAGTTCATTGGAAATGTCATGAAACCGTCAGTGGAGGTCGTTGCTACCAGGGACTCATAAACAGGGAGAGGACTATTTATCTCAGTTGCGATGTTTCAGAAATGGGAAGGGTAGAGAGGGGTGAAACGTCATGTTTGCCACCCCAAAGTTTCGTTCGATTACGAATAAAATATTTTGTGTTATTTTTTTTTTATTTCATTGGATCTATTTTAGAATTTTGTCAATTAAAAATCGTAAGATCAGTTTAATTAAATTATTGTTTGTGCGATTACATTACATTCTATTTTATTACGATTTAAACTTCACACGCGCCGGTTGACGAAACTGTTACCGTTCCTCTGAAGTACGAGACGTCGCCTTTACAATCACAGCCATCCTGAAATAATTGAATTAAAATCAAATATACCTTATAGATTAATTATAACTAGAGGTCCCGCAGTAGTCGAAATTCGACTATAGTTACTTGGAATTGTAAGTTTGTACACTATTATGATTGTATTTTATACTTCTTTAATCACAAATTTCGCCAAGTCTACACTATAAAAAATATTAACAAAGACAAACAATATTTAATCTATTCTCAATTTGACAACAGACGCCAAGAACAAAAGTTTGACAATAAATAGTATGCATGCGTGTGTGCGTCAAATACATGGTATGTAGTGTGTGTAATGTTTTCTTTATTGATTTAATGGATCTTTTATGCATTATTTTAAAAAAATATTAGCATTGTGCACTTCTTCTCTGTATTCTCTACAAGTGTGGAAAATTTCATACTCCTCCGTCCGCGCAATTTTCGTAAAAAGGGATACAAAGTTTTTGCTTCACGTATTAATATATAGATAGCAAATAGCATTAATATATATTTACTTACAAATTCTTTTTCTAATGAAGAGCACTCTGGGTTTTGTTCGTAAAAATGTACTTTCTCGATATTATGCTTTAATATTTCGTTCGATGGTTTTTTTTCATCAGCACATGTCATCAAATTTGAGATCAGACCTTTGTTATTTTTCTTGACTTTCAAGTGATCTATATTGACGTTGTACATAACCACTGGACTGCCAAATATTGCCTCATCAAGATACGTACAGTAGCTACCGTTCTCTTGTTTTTGCATTAGATTATTATTAATATTCAGGCTTTTTTCATTGTCCGTGTTGGTTTCGGTGTTACCGAGATAGTTCTGGTATAGTTGATTTTCGTTTATTTCCGAATATTTTCGCTTATTTGTGGATTGTTTTATTTTGGCACACACGTTTGTCAAGTATTGAAATTTGAGAAAGTATCCAACGGCTCCAGTAACGCTCGCGTACCCGCTCTTCTTACTCTTGTTGTGAACTAGGCAAACGTGTTTTAAAGACGTCGTTCCATAGGAGGGTCCTAAAAGAATAACATAGAATCGTTCTAACAAGGCCAAACTTTTTTACTATATTAACGGCCTATAAGGTTAATAAACTATCAGAAGATAGCCCTAGTTTCTTCGTTCATTATTCATAGCGGTAAGACATATCTTGATACTACTCTAAGTATTACCGCAATCACACGTTCCCGTCCTGAGGAGTAGGACAACAGTTATTCCAATTGCCAGTTTAACTTCGTGTCTCAAGGTGTGTAGCCGTATTTTTGTTGTAACGTTTATGGAGTGGACCCTATTACCAAATAGTCAGCGCTTGAAAGTAAAGGAAAAAAAGTTACGTGGGGTATGTTAAGAAAGTGTTTCGCGTTCGAAGATTTTTTCTTAATGGTCAAAAAATTGTTAATTCAAAATTTTGATAATCCAACATACCAAATACGTCTTTTGATAAACCTTTTGAAATTTTGTAAAATCATTAGTTTGATTATGTACTTGGCTGTACTTACTACTGGTGGTAGGACCTCTTGAGAGTCCGCGCGGGTGGGTACCATCGCCCTGCCTATTTCTGCCGTGAAGCAGTAATGCGTTTCGGTTTGAAGGGTGGGGCAGCCGTTGTCACTATACTGAGGTCTTAGAACTTATATCTCAAGGCGGGTGGCACATTTACGTTGTAGATGTCCATGGGCTCCAGTAACCACTTAACACCAGGTGGGCTGTGAGCTCGTCCACCCATCTAAGCAATAAAAAAAAAACACTTTTTTGTCGAACCACTTTCTGTGGATTTGGTAGCTAGCATAAACCATTCAGGAAAATTTGAGGAAATGTTATGTTAATTATAATGATAATGTATTGACTTAAACTTTATTGTTTTTTGTATTTATTTGTACTCGCCCTTTTTGTGCGGACAGGCGCAGTGTATTAACGGAGAGTTTTCGGTGAGGCCGTTCTCAGGCGCGCTGCGTGTTCTGCAGAAGTTACTGCTGCTCCACGTGGTGTCGGTGTACGGAATCGAATCAGATACACTTCCTGGCTGCACCCATTTCGAAGATTCGCGCAGTGAGAAAAATGTTAATGTTATAACGCCCTGTTAGATTGAAAAGTTTTTTTAAATATTATAATAGCACAATATTCAAGCATTAATTATGAAAAAAAAGGGTGCGTGTCCTTATGTACGCGCGTAAGAAGTTATACTTTATTTTTATTAAATTTATTTCTTTTGTTTTTAAATATTAAATAATTAATAATAAATATTTAACGTCAATAATTTAATAATATTTAGTATGAATTATATTAAATAATAATTTTGTCATTTATATTACTAAAAACTGAATGCTAATAACACTTTTTTTACGAGTGTACATGCGCCAAAGTTCACTTGCGGCTATATTCAGACTCGCCAAGTTACGTCGGTCGTATTGTAATAAGCGATTTAGTGGGCAACTTCATTTCTGTTAATTTTGTGCCACGGTGCGCGCGCATCGTGAAATTTCATTCTCATCAATTTTTCATAACGCGCCTAAAAAAGTATAACTTCATAAATTGCACTCAAGATGTTTAGAAATGGCATATTTTATGGCCGTAACAAAATCCGTTGTAATCCGTATTTTTTGGAACCGGAAAATTTATTTCAATTCTTGTTTTCAGTGTGTGTATGAATAAGCAGGCTAAATGCCTATCTGGTGTAAAGCGGTTGCTGGAGCCCATTGGATTAACAACGTGAGTTCCATCTTAATAAGACATGGAATCAGGTCACAATTTCTTTATTTGGGAAACTAATCGTACAATACATCCGCATAGTATATGAAAGATCCAATAATACAACACATGGGTAGATTGTGAACAACATGAAATGAAATTATTGACTTAAAGTTTACAAAGAAAGTAATAAAATAAAACAAGGAAAATATTACTACCACGAGTCGGACCTACGGTCACTTTACTTTTCAATATTGAAACTTAAATTTGAACTTAAATATTTTGCTTTGCACAAGTTCGTATCATGTAGATATCCTGTAACTGTAAGGACACTGGGCACAGGTAACTGAAACCGAATTTTTATTTTATTTACGGAGCATTTCATTGGAATAAGGTGTAAAAAATAAAAATACCATAGTGAAACATGCAGAGGCGCAGAGCGTGGCGCACAGCGGGAACCCGTACCGTTGCGTGAGGGCTCCACCAAGGGCCGGACCAAAGACTTCGCCCAGAGAATAACAACAAGACCAGACCCCCGCCACTGCACTGTATGTGGTGAGCGCTTCGGGGCATCCCCCTTCATAACTATATTATAATAATTGGTTAATTAAATGATATAAATGACACGATAGAGGGTCAGTCGAGTTCATGATGCCTGCCGAAGTTAGATCTTAGGTATATTATAGATTACGAAAAATGAATGCCGTAAGCCACCTCCAAAAATGCAGGTAATCAGGACCTTGGTATCACCTCCACACAATACTACCGTTTTCATTATATTACAGTATTTCTTGATTGCTGAAGCTATTAAGACTATCCAGCACTTCATGAATAGAAATACAAAGACCAGTGAAACGGGTATAGTAAACGAAGCTGTCTGAATTCTGAATGGTGGGCTGTTTTGTGAGCCATCTCGGGTAGGTACCGCCATCCAGTCTATTTCTGCCCGGAAGCAGTAATGCATTCCGATTTTAAATGTGAGCCAACTGTTACACAATACAATTCAGACTTAGATTTCATATTTCAAGGTTCGCGTAGTGATGCTTTTGGGCTCCATCAGCCTCTAAATAATAGGTGGGTGAGAACTAGTTCAGCAATCTAGGCAATGAAAGGGATAAGTTTGTGTCACAGAAAAACTATCAATCTTGTTAATTTATAATTATTCAATACTACGATATCGTAATTTAAGAGGTTTTCCCATTCGCGCGTAGCTAGAATAGCCCCTTATGCTACCAGAGAATGGGTACAAAAAAAGAAGTTATTATCGTCACTTGAATTGAAGAATTGTTCGAGATGATACCAACGTCTCGTTTTTACCATCGCACCGCCCGCCACCGGAGTAGAGTTCATCCATACTACCTGGAGCCACTGCGGTCATCCACAGTGGAAACGCCAGAGATCTTTTTTGCCACGTACCATCCGGCTATGGAATGAGCTCCCCTCCACGGTGATTCCCGAGCGCTATGACATGTCCTTCTTCAAACGAGGCTTGTGGAGAGTATTAAGCGGTAGGCAGCGGCTTGGCTCTGCCCTTGGCATTGCTGAAGTCCATGGGCGACGGTAACCACTCACCATCAGGTGGGCCGTGTGCTCGTCTGCCTACAAAGGCAATAAAAAAAAAATTAAAAAAAAACTTGAAATATTGAAAAACTGTTAATATGCAATGCTAGACGGTATAACAGATCATTCTTCAAACGAGTCTTGATGATTACTACGCAGCTCACATCAGCGATAATGAACACATGCAAACAAGTTAACCGTAAGCTCGGATGTCAACACGTTTAATGCAGTATCGCTAAATGAATAATCCACAATTATGCACAATTATGTACTTACATGGAACTTGTCAACACTCCTTGAAATGTGGGCAACAATGTAAGGGCCACAGATATTCCTAGTATCGAAAGCGCAACCAGGTCTAACCAAAGCTCACTGAAAAAAAATCATTAGAATAAAACTTTTATATAGTATGTATATGAAATTTTCGATACAGCCTCGCAAACTTAAACTTAACAAAGTAAATCATTATGGATATGGATTAGGTATCCATACTATACCAATGACTCCCAAACTATTTTGGGCAAGAGACCCCTTTTTCAAATAATTTCAAATACTTACAAATCTAAAAACTTTACGGTTGGTTAAGTGATTAAGTTCGACATCATTTTCTCATAAAAATTTACTAAAATGAATTTGATAAACACAGTATCTTGAAAGCTTCAAATAAGTGCTTGTATTTTTCCCTTTTTGGTTGCTTACGGGGCTATTCCAACTAATCGCGGACGGGTAGATGAGCTCACGGACCCAACCTAGGAGCACCGAGAGCGGACCCGATAAGACATGTTTACATGTTCTTCTTCAAACGAGGCTTGTGAGAGTATTAAACTATAGGAAGCGGATTGGCTCTGCTCTTGGCATTACTGAAGTCCATGAGCGATGCTAACCACTCACCATCAGGTGGGCTGTATGCTCCTCTGCCTACATAGGCAATAAAAAAAAGATATTTTGGACGATGGCGGCTTAAATTATGAGATGAAGCTGTAAGCCTTGTATGTATGTTCCTTATGGACTCCCAAGCGGTTGGACCGATTTCGGTAAAATTTTCAAGAACTTTTCAGATTAACTATGGGAGTGATCTTGAGATCCGTTCGGTAGCGATCAGACCAAAGTCAAATCAAAGATCTTGTGTTTGAATTTAGATAATCTCTAAATTTAATGAAACGTCATTTATAAAACAGTATAGTTACGAACGTTAAGTCTTTATTGGTCCATTTTTGGAAACCCGTTAAATAAATAAAGGATTGTGGGACTTACCGTGGTAATGCGGGGATGAAAGGACATGGGCCCAATAACAACAAGCCAACTGTGGACAGGAACAGGCCCCAAACCATCATGCACCAGTGATTGTGTACTCTGGACAAAGAAAAAAAAAACTTTTTTACTGTCATCATTATAAAGGCAAGAATAATCAATGTTAATAAAATAAACAGCTTACCGATCTGCTACCCATCCCCATATGGGACTGAAGATGCCATACAAGCTTGAGAATAGTAAGAAAATCAATCCGATTTGTTGTGTGGATAGCCCGAACTGTCGCATATGAGGTTCCAACGTTGGATCCAAGAATGCCCATGTATTGGACATTATTACGATTACAAGTCCAGTAACAATAATGGACGGAATCTTCAATAGTTTAATCATTGAAGCTGTTTTTGAACCGGATACATATTCTGAAAAGAAATGCGTACCTTTTAAATCACAAATTAAAAGTAACCAGATGTCGTCAGAGATGATTGACTGACTTTGTATGCGGTGAGTAGTTGCACCATTTTTATCGTGCCCCTGTTGTCACTTTCTCGATGTTATTTATTTATTTATTTTTATTGCTTAGATGAGTGGACGAGCTCACAACCTACCTCGTATTAAGTGGTTACTGGAGCCCATAGACATCCACAACGTAAATTCACCACCCACCTTGAAATATAAGTTCTAAGGTCTCAACACCAAGTATAGTTACAACGGCTGCCCCACCCTTCAAACCGAAACGGTACCCACCCGCGCGGACTCACAAGAAGTCCTACCACCAGTAATTACGCAAATCATAATTTTGCGGATTTCATTTTTATTACACGATGTTATATTCCTTCACCATGAAAGTCAATCGTGAATATTTGTTAAGTACGTATTTCATTATAAAAATTGGTACCCGCCTGAGATTCGAACACCAGTGCATCGCTCAACACGAATGCACCGAACGTTTTATCCGTTACGCCACGACCACTTCGCTATTTTCGCAACCATGTGTTTCAATTGTATGCCGATGGTGAAAGCAAGACTATTTTAAAGTCTACTTGATTAAATAATTTTGTCTATTCGGAAACAATTCTTATTTTCAGAGCCGTCTCTTGCCACTGCGTCCTTTATTGTGCTACGAAGTCGAGGCTCGGCAATTTAAGAAGAAAATCACCATCTTTCACGATAAAATGCTCCCTATTTACCACGAATGAACATACTCATTATGTTTCACCCAAATTTATTATAAGTCTAAAAACTGAGGACTTGAATTGACAATAAATTATGTCACACCAGTATGTAGTATTGTAATGTTTGGGTGTCTCAAGTCATCGAGGTGCTTTGTTCGGATTTATGAAAAAGTATTATCAGATTTTCATGAAAACTTTTTGAAAGTTTATCATTATCTTCAAAATTGGTAGATAAGCCTTTTTATCGCCGCGATAACGAAAGCTGGAAAGGTGACGTATTTGACCCCCTATTTCAACTATGCTTACATTATGTACATTAAATGTATATAAAGTATATATTTGTTATAGCTACTGTAGCGGCCCCGCATTTCGTTACTTGTACAATGACGAATATCTTGCCCGAAGAGTCAATAACAATTAGTTAATTATAATGTGAATGATGATATACATTAACTTGGATTATGTTGGTTTATGTTGTACTAGGTGTCAGTTGAAAAACTATACTAAAAGATAATTAATATTATATAATATATAAGAATATAAGAATAAATGAGTACCTTCACATTCAGTAAGCAAGAAGAAGTTTATGGGTACTGTCAGCACCATCGCAATCCCAAGAGTATAAAATGGTAGTCCAAAGCCCCCGATCTACCTGAAACATTGAAGTTTTTGTACATTTACATGCTGATTCTAGTTTTTTTCACTATCACATGATTGGACGGCGCATACAGTCATAACTGAAACCGTTACCCTTACTATTTGTAAATAATTAAATAATCGGCGATAAATCACACATGGTTTTCTGCCCCAAATTAGAATTCCATGTGCTATGAAACCAGAGATTGATTAACCCTGATATATTGAAAACGAACATGCTGTTTTTTGTTCCAGAAAATTCCTTCCAGTTTATTGGCGACCAAACACATCTTATGAGCTATTACAAGAAAAAATGGTTAAATTCATACCGAGTACAATAAACCGCCTATCGCCGGTCCCACTGACATTCCGAGTCCTACAAAGGTCTCTAAAATGCCAAGCACTGAACCGATGTTGTCGGGAAAGGCGTTAACGACGAACACGTAGCTGGCCGTAGAATACGCACTAGCTCCCAGCGCCTCCAACCCTCTTATTAAGAAACAGAGGGCTGTGAATGTTGTCTTATCTTCTATTAGTTCCAACGTTCTGTAATAAAAATATTTTTTCCTTCGGATTTTTTTTCATTGTAAAAAATGTGCTGAAAAATAGTTAGGCTTAATATTTTCACCCTGTCCATCTGAATGCTTTCGATATTGCCTATGGATCTTAACTAAATAGTTCTATGATTTTAATTTTATTTTATTTACATATACGAACGTGAACTCCATTATGGAACGGAAACTCGACTTTACAGCTTTCTTTACTGAGCAAATATCAGAAAGGTCATTTTCATTACATTAAAAAAAAAACTAAATTCCATTTATGTACAATTGTTTTACTTGGATTTAAAATCTTATGCGAGGGTATTTTTTATTAGAATTATTATTTTTGCGAGATTCAATTCAACATTATTGTTGTTACTTTAAGCTCGGAATAAACACAACAAATTACGGCCATCGCAGTTAGCGTAATACTATTTTTCGGTATTGTTTAATTCATTCTTATATTATAGATATAAAATTACAATTTTCTTGACGTCTATGTATTATAATAAAACGTTTATATTTTAACTTACCCAAATAATACATTACACACTCCAGCCACTAACATCCCAGCGGTAAACATAAATTTCGCGCCCACGGCCGGTAGCTGTGAATCATATTGAGATAAAATGTTATAACCTGTTTTCTAATTACAAAACATATAACGGAGGGCATGTATAGCTTATAATATGTAAGGATTGTTCATAATTATTGCAAAAAATATTTCCTTTTTCGATGAAGTTTCATTGGCTTACGATAATTTTTGTATCTTGTTTATCTGTTATCATCGCTTGGAAATTGAATTGAGTTTGTGACTTTACAAATTCTTGACAGTTTGAACTTTATGCTTAATAAATTAAAATCTTGTTTAACTTTTATTTTTAATTAACAGCCAAATTATGTGTTTAATTCGCGTGTAAGTTGATATTTTTCAGTGTCATAACTGTTTGTGTATATAGATGTGAAGATGTAGGTAGGATATGTAGGATATGGGTATACCTATATATAGACGATAAAGCAAAGACATAAGGGCGACCTGTTTCACAAAGGATTAAATCATCACAGATACGACAGTAATAAGTATTTGTGCCAAGCTTAGATAATGAAAATAGTTTTACGTAAAAATTAAGGTATTTTTTCACAGTTTTGTCTCGTTACTTTTGTAATATGATCATGTATGGACGGTTTCTTGACAGCACAACATAGAATCGAAGTAGACACTAATGTACATACCTACATTTTTTTTTTTTTTTTTTTTTTTTTTTTTTTTTTTTT